TTCCTTTCTTCATTTGTGCCAAATATTATTCACATTTTTATCGTTAATCATGAATAAAAGTTGTTATTAAAGCTTAATCAAACATAGTGATTTTGCTGTTTATTTGCTCAAGCATTACCTCGATTATAAGTACTTATTTGTTTAAAAATATGCAATATATTGCAATACATATCGCAATACATGCTTTCGCATCGCAATATATCCCAATATGAAAATTCTCTGCAATACCCACCCCTACAAATAACTGAATAAAAATTATGCGCAGGCGCTTTGCAACCTTGTATGTGTTTACAAATGATAAGTAATTTTCTTTTTGGGGAAACAACTGACGCGCTGGTTTAATACTGACACACAGACGGACGAGGAGCCTTTTCTTGTTTCCTAACCTTTGCAAATAAGTATCTGCTATGGTACGCTGCTTAACCCAAGATAGTTAACAGAAGTCAGCAACGAAAGACGAAGAGGAGATGTACAGCTAATATTCTACTCGGCTAAACGAGAATCAGTTGCTCCCTGAGCGAGTATCGAAGTAAACTTCAGTTCTGATTGTGGTTAGTCGGTAACCTGTTAACCCAGGATGTCATGTACATATAAACTCTCTCACAAAACAGGTCCTGGGGTTCTAAAGTGAACATTTTTACTGACTGACAGACTGAGTTTGATTTTACGCCGCTTTTAGCAATATTCCAGCAACATCACGGCGGGGGACACCAGAAATGGGCTTCACACATTGTGCCCATGTGGGAATTCGAACCCGGGTCTTCGGCGTGACGAGCCAACGCTTTAACCACTAGGCCACCCCGCCGCCCACATGTTTACTGACCTAACGGATAGACGGTTATACATTTTCTAACCACAAAGAACACCCAAGTGGGCAATCACACATTATAAGTTTCAGCAGCTAACAATACTATAGGATCGTGTTCGGGAACGCGTGTTTGTGGCTATATATAGGTTGACCTTCCTGCTTCCCGGATGTGGGAATTACCCTGTTTTATTCGGTCTGGTGAAACTGTACGCCTTAAGGAAACATACCCGTATATGTCAATAGCTGTGAGGGAAGCCATTAACGTGAAAAGAACACAGTTCGTTCGAATATAATGTGGCAGGCGGAAAGCCTGACTGATGTGGGTTAGTGATAGGCTGGTCATAATTCTCGGAATGTATTTATTGCCTCTAGTCAGTATTTAAGAGCCCATTTACTATCAGATATAGAAAATAGAGACAGTTTAAGTAAATAAATGAATGAATGAAGGATAAATAAATAAGAAATAAACGAACGAACAAACAAATAAAATAATATATAAATGAATGAATGAGTGAATAAATAAATAAAAGAATAAGTCGGTACATTCATACAAATGAAAATGGGTACCCGGTTGGATAAAGTCATGTGACTATAACTTTCTAGCGCCTAACAGGGAGCTTGGGTTATCCGGGGTAATAAGAATCAAACACTTGGTGTTTGGAGACTGTGCGCTATAGAAGATGACTTATTATTATTAAGACAAAGTCCTGTCTGTTGGAAGTCAGCGTCAGTTTCTGAATGGGGTATCGAAGTTAAACCGTTGTATCCAGGGGCTAGTCCGGCGAAGTTCAAGCAGCAACACACGCATGCACGTACGTACGCGCGCACACACACACACGCGTACGCGCGCACGCACGCTCACTTTCTCGTGTAGCGAAATAAACAGGGCCCCTACGTTGAAAGCATTTCATCTCACCCATTTCATATACGAGTGTTGTCTTGTGTGACAAAAGCATAAGTTAGGTCTACACATGCCTACAATGTCAAATACCTCAAGGGAATAACTGCTAGAGTATGTTGTTTATGGGAATGGCTCTTCTACGCTTCACTGCTTACATGTCGGCAGCTTAACACGCAGCAGTTCACTAATACTTACACTTATCAACTGACCATCCTGTCTTAAGGTTCAACTTTTATCCCCAGCAGAAGAATATCGGTAGATTATTGTATCAGCGCTTATCCGAACCGTTAGTGGTTAAAGCGTTCGCTCGTCACGACGAAGGCCCGGGTTCGTTTTTCTCACATGGGTACAATGTGTGAAGCCCATTTCTGGTGTCCCCCGCCGTGATGTTGCTGGAATATTGCTAAACGCAGCATAATAAACATACTCAGATAGCTTTAGCAACTACAGCTGAAGCCGGATGTACATGTGTTATTGATCCTACAGCTGATATGGGACCATCCTGTGCTGAGTAGGAATGACGCAAGTACAGTGTACTATAGTGAATAGCCTAATGACTCGGGGCGATACGGGGTCATACAGATTGCGTGCTGGCTGGGAATTTGTCGGAACCACCCACTCACAACCCCTACTTCAATTTCGCGCACTAAAAACCCCAATTTCCTGAAATATGTAACACGTTCGCACACAAATTGCAGCTTGATAAATTTCAAGCCTACCAATGAAAACAAATACTTGATTCTCCTAAAAGATCAAATCGCACCCCACACCCCCACCACCACCCCCGCAAACGCCGAAGACGAAACAGCCTAAATATATTATGGTTCTCTGTTCTAAATATGAGATATGCAACGAGTTCGCTCACGACAACATCAACAAAACACCACCACCATCATCAACAACAACACCAACTGCACAACAAAAAAGTACATAAACACAGATAATATAATTGTTAGAGAACACATCGATATTGCATCACCTGCATGCTTTACCATGGTGATGATACGACGAAACACTCAGAGAAACAAGGTCAAAGTCAAAGTACTGGGAACTCGGAAGCACTGCGACTTGCATCAGTTTCCAGTTTCCGAGTACTTAGTCTACCCATAATGGATGCAGACAACAGTAAAGAGTGCAATCACGGTGACGTATATTACAGCTATCTAGCCATTTAGTGAACAAATGTGATACGTCACCAGCATATCTGAGTGGAATTTGCCCAAACATGGACAGGTTTAGGATGTTCTGGTTCATCAATCACTGGATTGTCTTGTCTGATCTAGGGCGCGGTACCCGTGAAGATCCGGGTTAGAATTGATCTTCAGTAACCCATGCTTGTCGTAAGAGGCGACTAACGGGATCAGGTGGTCAGGCTCGCTGACTTGGTTGACACATGTCATCGTATCCCAATTGCGTGGAACGATGCTCATGCTTTTGATCACTGGATTGTCTGATCCAGACTCTATTATTACTGCCTGCCACCGTGAAGCTGGAATATTGCTGAGTGCGGCGTTAAACAACAAACCAAGGGCGCGGGCGCATGGGATAGTGTTGTTTGGTGTCTGGCTGTAAACAGTTACATTTACAGGCAAAGTATATGAATACCGGGTGTTCACGGCTGGACATGTCTACCCTTTCCGCGAATACCTGGTGTCATCACCGAGTTTAATGGTAAATCAATTTGGTTTGCACAGTTATCTTCCCCTTTACACCACATGGAATCTATTCCTGAGTCAAGACTGAGAAATCGTTTAGACTGGCGTTTTATACATGAAGTAAAAGCAGATACATTGGAAATATTCTCACGGTGTTTTTGATGACATTCGTACAAACCGAATACCAACTATGAATGTCTCATGTCTGCATGGACCGGGAGTGATTTGTGCGGGTAGAATCAAGTACGGCCATAAAACTCCTGCAGTGAAGGGCAGGTTCATACGGGTGAAAGACAGCCGTCTCTACAGCTCCAGCAATACCAGGATGTGGCCGCCGTCTCCATTACCGGTGGAACAGACTTGGTACACGTCCAGGGCAATTTACGAAACAAAATGACACAGGCGAAATTCATCGGGCCACATACCCGTGAAGATCCGGGTTAGATCCGTCGCTGCTGCTGCTGCTACTACCTGAGCAAGGAAGCTGTGAACTGGAGAAAGTGATATTAAAAGGATCACGGATATCACAGAATTTTTCATTAATTATAACTATATGAACAAATATTATGTCATGATGACCCAAGACCCTGAATTTGCACGTGCATCCCGGTCTTTTGTGCAGTGGGGTAGCCTAGTGGTTAAAACGGTCGCTCATCACGGCGAAGACCCGGTTCGATTCCCCACAATACAATGTGCGAAGCCTATTCCTGGTGTTCCCCGTCGTGATATTGCTGGAATATTGCGAAAGCGGAGTAAAACTAAACTCACTCACTCACTTGCGCAAAATCCCATGAGTGATAAATTCGCTAGTTCGCACAGTTCCGAATGAGTGCAGATTCATAAAAAATAAAATAAATCTGACTGATGTGGTTTCTTTTACTTTAAATCAGTTAACTGCGTAAAGGTTATGCCATGATCATAAGCAGCAGTTGAGAAAAAGATAAGAGTGAGTGAGTTTGCTTTAACGCCGCTTTTTAGCAATATTCCAGCAATATCACCAGAAATGGGAATCGAACCCTGGTCTTCGGCGTGACGAGCGAACGCTTTAATTACAAGGATACCCCACCGCCCCTTCCACGCAAGAAATGTTTTACTTAACACAAACCGTAAGAGGCGACTAACGGGATCGGGTGGTCAGGCTCGCTGACTTGGTTGACACATGTCATCGGTTCCCAATTGCGCAGATCGATGCTCATGCTGTTGATCACTGGATTGTCTGGTCCAGACCCGATTATTTACAGACCGCCGCCATATAGCTGCAATATTGCTGAGTGCGGCGTAAAACTAAACTCACTCACTCACTTAACACAAATACGTTATGAAATTTTCACTGATACAAGCAATGGGTTCCCTTTCCTTTATTAAACAACCTGGACAGTACATGACTGAAAGACGCATCTGCTTACTGCTACCTATACAAATGTTTCTGGGTCACAGCCATGTGGGGACCGCGCTAAATAGACCCTCGCTGACACGATCTCTCTGTTCCGAGTTACTGAAGCGCGGAAACCGCTGAAGATAGATCCGGGTTCGTTCGGATGAATACATACTCAGCAGCTAATAAGGTGGTGAGATAGAAACCAAACAACCGTGTACTGTAGATGTGCATGTGACGTACACCATAGCTCATCTGACTGAACACAGCTGTCAGACGTCATCGTCAGCGAGAACGGCGTCGGTGAAGCATTGGTTTGAGAGACAGTCCGTTGTGTTGCTAAAGATAGGTACAGACAGTATACAGTGATCAAGTTCAAAATGTCCGCTGGGGTGATCTGGCTGTGTGTACTAAGCTGTGCCATCACGTATGTGTCAGCCGGTGAGAGGGAGAAAAGGCAGGTGGTGAATCCAACTTGTGATCAATTAAACCCATGTTTCTTTGGATCGTTTTGTTACAACGGTGGAACATGCAAGAGAAACATGGCAACGTGTGGCGTGTATTGTATCTGTAGGCCAGGGTTCGCTGGAACATCGTGTGACGAATGTGAGACCGACCCGTGCGCTGTCAACTCAACCTGTCAGAACGGAGGAACCTGTCTTTCTAACAAAGCCTGTGAACCCAAATGTAGCTGTCCTTCTGGTTTTACGGGGGATCTTTGTGAAACGCCGGTGTCGTCAACGACGATGACTGTTACATCACCTTCAACAAATGAAACATCGTCACCGTCAACAAATCAAACATCGGCACCTTCAAACACAACAGGTGCTGAATGTGTTTGGGACATGTGTTTGTATAACAACCCATGCAATCATGCAGGAACGTGTGCCGATTGTGGTGAATCCTGCATTTGCGCGACTGCGTATACGGGGAGATTTTGTGAAACTCCGTTGTCGTCTCCTCCGAAAGCTGACACTACAGTCGGCTCAACAAGAAAAACACCAACAATTTGTAAGAGCGGTTATATCTGTTTCCATGGTGACTGTGTAACAACAAGTGACGGTACAAGATGCGAGTGTGACAAAGGTTTCACTGGTCAGTTTTGCGATTGGCCTTGCAACCTTGACTGCGGGGACAATGGCGAGTGCGCTCGCCTGGACATCAGCTCACCCGAGTTTTGCAACTGCATCTTCACACACACAGGTGATACCTGCGCTGAAGTAATCCAAAGAAAAACCATTGTGACAGGTAAGACAAAACACTGACAACATAAATAGACAAGGAGCCCGGTAATGACGCATGCTTGGACAACCTGATCCACACAGAAACAGGGGCCGTGGGGTAGCCTAGTGGTTAAAGCGGTCACACCGGCCCTGGTTCGATTGCCCACATGGGTACAATGTGTGAAGCCCATTTCTGGTTTCCCCCGCCGTGATATTGCTGGAATATTGCTAAAAGCGGCGTAAAACCAAACTCATAATTAATGGCTAGGGGGGTGATGATGATTTTTATGGAGGCGCATGTACAAAATCAACGACACCCCCCCCCCCCCTAATTTGTAAGCATATTAATTTAATATTAATATGTACAAAATTAATGACTCTCCCTACCTCCCCAGAACAAAATGGGTGATCCCCCTTAAATTCATCATCATCTCCACCCCACGCCCCCACCCCTCCCAAACACGTACACACAGCCATGAATTATAAACGGTCCATAACTCAAGTTTTTTTTTTCTAGGCTGTTTTACGTGTTGATTTCCAGGTTGAAGTTAAACTTGTATTTTAGATCGTTAAGGATGGCGAGAATAAAATATACGCTTTAGTGGATACAAGACGTCAGACCTGATTTCAAAATGACACATTTCTCGACGCGATTTCGTCATATAGTTCATGGTTCATGACTGTACATCCACCATATCCTGAATCGCTCTCTGGTCCTATTACGAATGGGCGTGTCTGACGGTTCAAGCAAAGGGCACGTGTCCTCCACTAGACGGACTTGAGCAGGTCCGGATGGGTATTCACTGGTGTGACAGGGAGACAGCAATACTGGCAGTATGTGGGTTAGGCAAATAATGGACGCAGGAATCCGAAAAGCTCCGCAAGAACCTTTGCTGGCCGTAAGAAATGACTTTATTTGGGTCTCCTTTACGCCGTTTCCAGCAATATGGCGGCGGTCTGTAAATAATCGAATCTGGACCAATGAGTGAGTGAGTTAAGTTTTACGCCGCGTTCAGCAATATTCCAGCTATATGGCGGCGGTCTGTAAATAATCGAATCCGGACCAGACAACCCAGTGAAAGACATCATGAGCATCGATCTACGCAATTGAATGCGATGATATGTGTCAACCAAGTCAGCCCCTGACCACCCAATACCGTTAGCCTCCTCTTACGTTAAGCATAGGTTGCTGAAGGTCAATTCTAACCCGGATCTTCATGGGTGCCCTGAGAATGAACCTGCGTAAACAATGTGAAGAACTCTTAAACTCAGTTACCACATCCTTTAATTGTGCAAGGGGTCATCAAATCATTACTCGTATGCTTTATACAATAAGAGAAGTAGTTGGTAAATCCATAATCTATTTTCATTGTATCTTCTAAATGCTACTCGAATCCGTGCCTATGAGATGCCAGTGTATAATCATGGCTTCTCTCTCGAATATATTTAACGAAAATGCAAAATAAAAATAAAACAAACAAACTACATTTATTTTAACAACATTATAAATGTAATATAGACAAACTTTATGGACAACAACTCCTTTAGTTAGATTAAGTTTGTCTATATTGTACTTCTAAGATGCCAACCAACAAAATGCAAGCCTGAGAGGGACCTTTTATTTGGAGTGTGCGTGTCCTGTCACCAGCTGGTCGTAACAATACGAAATGAAGCAGATGTTCACACAATAACATAATCAAAACAAGGCAACAATCAAGACATATTTCGTAAAATCTATCTATTGTTAATTGCAGGCAATGGGGTAGCATAGTGGTTAAAGCGTTCGCTCATCGAGGTCGATTCTCGACATGGGTACAATGTGTGAAGCCTATTGCTTGTCTCGCCCGCCGTGACATTGCTGGAATATTGTTAAAAGCAGCGTAAAACTATACTCACTGACTATTTTCAAATTGCGGAAAAGGACATAAGTCGCAGGGGTCTTCAAGCACAAACATGAAAACTGGCCCTTCTTGTCAGTGTGTTCGCTGGATTGTATCAATATTTAAACTTACGTTACGCCCCATTTACAAAATTCTTTATCTTGCTCTATTGATTTCTTAATAAGAACAGTTATCCCAGTGGTATATCCACATCCCACATGGTTAGTTCTGACTTAATTGTTGATTGACAAGGGCAACGCCATGTTTGTTTGTAAATACCGGAAGTAGTCCCTACGTGACTTTTCACCTGACCTGGGCCCAGATTTTCGAATCTCTCTTAGCGCTGAGATAGTCGTAAGTTAATGTTAATGTATGGCACTTACGACTATCTTAGCGCTGAGAGAGCTTCGAAAATCTAGGCCCTGGCCTTTCCGATTTCTTTCTTCGTCCGTATATAATCCCACCGGATTTATCCTCCGTTTGACCAGGGATACTCTACAACCTATATAGTCTCCCTGGTTTGACTTCATTTGAGACCGATGAATTGCTCACTAACACAATATCTAATAATTGCAACAAATCAAACTTTGCACAATCACATGAAATCGACAGACCAACTCTGATCATTTGTCTCATAAATTGTGGACACCCGAATAAAAAAGTTGTTTAACAAACGATCATTATTTTGTTGTCACTTTTCGCTGAGTTATACGAGGGAGGACCACTTGCATGTAGAACAGCTAGGTGTTCGAGTTGTACGTGTTAAATTAAAATTTCACTGCACACGCTTGTTGATTACCTGTCTGTTCTACCAGCAAGTGGTCCTCCCTCGTAAGAAACAGCGAAAAGTAACAACAAAATAATGATAGTTTGTTAAACAACTTTTTTTATTTGGGTGTTCGGACCCCTGCGTCCATTATTTGCCTATCTCCTGTCATGCGACGGCGGTCTGTAAACACATCAGTGAATCAAGAGATCGATGAACCGGATAATCCAGTTAGATAATTTGAAATTAAACCTGCTGTGAAGTAGAGAGATTCCAATTCGTCTAAGACGCTGGAATTTCTTAGGCTCGTCAGGATCCAATGACCGTGTGATGGAAAGATTAGCCGTGGTTGTGAACCTTAGTTTGTCGGTATCTCGCCTGTGCTTGTGGGAAACATGTTATATCTGGGATCACACTTTCTCAGCAAAGTACAGATTCTAGTACTTTTGTTGGGTTAAGTCCCATCCGGGATTCGAACCCACACCTTCAGCGTCAGGCACCTAATTATCAGCACACAAAGTCAGCCACCAAATCCACTCAGCCATCGCGGCTTCCACAATAATGGAAGTCGGACAACTGGCCCTCTAGACCACTGACTTTGCGCACCCGGCTTATAAGTGTAACTTGGCACAGCTCCCACGACCGGAAGCTACGAATACATAATACCATTCAGAAAATGGTCAAATGTAACTCATGTTATATTTGGGATTACACTCTCTCTGTAAAGTACAGATTCTAGTGTTTTGAGGATTACGTCCCATCAGGGATTCGAACCCGCACTCTCAGAGTCAGGGTTACATTTGACCACTTCTAAATGGCAGTGTGTATCCATATGCTTGTGGGGATTTCTTCCAAGACCTGATTGAGCTAAAATGCCGTCACGGTTATATAAGTGTCAGTATTCAGATAAATATAAGCGAAATGTTTTATCTTCTTGAAGTTTGTCATCAATAATGAAGATGTTTTAGCTTGAAAACGGCGAATGAATCTACACCGAAACTTCTCTATCCTCAATAATCAAGAAGTTGTTATCCAAAAAGTCTTATGCCTCATACACGAAATGGCCTTTCTATAATGAGAGATCTCCACTATCCGATTCCGCCTATATGATGAACATTTGTTGATGAATCACCATTAAACAGCATCTTGTCCCACCTGTGTAATCCGTGTAATACGAGGTTAAACCCAACTTTATCACTCTCTTCCTATGCTCTCTAAAGGACGCATCCGTCATAACATCCAGGTTAGAATTGGTCTTCAGCCACCAATGCTTGTTGCGAGAGGCTTGGGGACTTGGTTGATGCATATCAACCCATTCCATTAGCTTAGATGAATGCGCATGATGCCAGTCATTAGATTATGTGGTCCAGACAAGCACGCTAGTCGTCATATAACTGGAATACTGCTAAGAGAGGCGTTAAACAATAACGGGATCGGGTGGTCTGGCTCGCTGACTTGGTTGACACATGTCATCGGTTCCCAATTGCGAAGATCGATACTCATCATGAACGCTGTTGATCACTGGATTGTCTGGTCCAGACTCGATTATCTACAGCCATATAGCTGGAATATTGCTGAGTGCGGCGTAAAACTAAACTCACTCACTCACTCTCAAAAAGAAATAACAATTGTAAAGCACACTCATTACCGGTGATTCCAACAATTATTAAACCGTCAGTGCCTCCGACAATTAGCAGGATGGTGCTAACCAACGACTGTCAAAAGGACCAAACCCTAATGCATCAAATCTGTTTCAAGTATGTAAGACCAGTTTAAAGACAAAATTAGGATTGCAGTTTGTTTGTACAGTCTGTATATTTTTGTTCTGCAGTAGCCGGAAACTGGAAAGCATGGTTGATTGGGAGTGTAGTTGTCGTGTTGGTCGTCCTCGGACTGCTTGTCCTCGTGGCCTATGTCCTCATGAAGAAGAGGAACATCTTCATCATGCGAGTCCTGTACTACTTCCAGCCTCACGAGGATGATGGTGAGTATCGGGTGCTATGTGAGACACCACAAAGCGGTCGGTATTTGTAGGGCAAATAGGTACATTCAAGTCACCATCAGCAGCAGCAGCAGCAGCAGCAACAGCAGAAGCAGCAACAGCCACAGCATCATAGCAGCAGCATGATGATTATTTTGTCATTATTAGGTCATTATCTGGATAAATAGATATAAATAAATATATATTAGACTGTAGGACCAATCCATTAATATTAAAAGTGCGGAACTGACAGGTCGATATATTCACTGACCAAATCCAATTTCAAGCAGCGTTATGCAACTGTTAAACACCATAGTCTTAAATTTCAGACCATGATCATTTATGTGCAGTGTGCGAAATAGTTTCCAAATTTTGCATGCCAGTCGGGCTAGCTATGCCTGAAAGTTACTAGCCCACAAAATAATTCACTAGTCCGAAATTTGAATGTACAATTTTTTGGTAGACACGGGTTTCATCATGAAGCTGCTGATATGATGAACATTTTTATCGGGCCACAATCTTACATGTGTGTTATAACTTAACAAGTCAGAGAGAGTGATATATTTACTAAATTACCTCATGAAAATTCACTAGCCTGTCGGGCCAGTGACTGTGGAGATTTATTGGCCCGACTAGATTTTTACTAGCCACGGGCTAGCGGTCCAGTGGCCATTTCGCACAATGTTTATATGCGAAGGCTGGCATGTGATAAGCATGTACTGCCGAAACACTGAAATTACTCTATACATTATGGATGAAATGAGAGCTAATTATGCTGTCGTGGAGTAGAGGCGACTTCCTTGGAGTCTCTTTTTGTCTAATGTCGTAATGAATACGGTTACACTCTTCCGTTTTGTCTAATGTCGTAATGAATACGGTTACACTCTACCCTTTTGTCTAATGTCGTAATGAATACAGTTACACCCTACCCTTTTGTCTAATGTCGTAAAGAAAACAATGTTACGCTCCTCCTTTTTGTCGAATGTCGTAATGAATGCAGTAACTGTTACTACACTCTTACCTTTTTGTCAAATGTCGTAATGAATGCAGTAACACTCTTCTTGTAAAACACGATAAGTCTGAGAGTGTCAAAAGTAGCATATATGTTCTTGTCATTTGTAGATGGAAAGGAATTTGATGCCTTCGTATCCTACAAGTCCTCACCAGAAGATGAGACGTTCGTTTATAAGACCTTGTATCAAGAGCTGGAGAAACAACGGAGCTTCAAGCTGTGCCTGCACCAGAGAGATTTTGTCCCTGGAGAAAGTATGTACATTGCAGCTACCATGTAAATGTGCATGGATAAAAGTATCTTGAATTTGCAAGGTTCATTTTGTTTATAACAGGTGACGTCTAAACATTTCTAATGAAATAAGATCCCACAACATGGCTAAACTGCAGGACATGATATCACACTTGCAGAACATACTACCTCACATACCTTGAAGTATTGCCCTTCATATAACGCCTTATTGATATGGATGTCAATGACTCAATACACCTTCAAATATATATATAAATTCTGCCGTTTTCTGTTTTTGTTTTGTTTAATGCGTGAAATAACCATGGCCCCTTCCTCACGCTTTGGGGTAGCCTAATGGTTAAAGCGTCCGCTCGTCACGCTGAAGACCGGGGTTAGATTCCCCACATGGGTACAATGTGTGAAGTCCATGTCTAGTGTCTCCCGCCGTGATATTGATGGATTATTGCTAAAAGCCGCGTAAAACCATGATCACATACCCACTCTTCTTGTGTTGTGTATACAATAACGAAGAAGTTGACATTCATAACATTTTGTCTTATACTTGAATACCAACTTCTATATGCCCCTCAAGATTATATGCCATTTCTGTATGTGTTTCAGCAATAGCGAACAACATCCTCTGGGCCATCGAGAAAAGCCGGAGGACAATTCTGGTTCTGTCCCCGAATTACATGGAGAGTGACTTCACTAGGTTTGAGTACCAGGTGGCCCACAACGAGATGCTGAAGCAGAAACACAAGGTCATCCCTCTCCTGCTGGAGGACATCAGTCAGCAGAAGCATCTCACAGACAGGACTCTCTCCAGCATCCTCAAGTCCATCACCTACATAGAGTGGCCACAGAATGGAGATGAGAGTACGCTCAAGGCATTCTGGCGCAGGCTTGAACTCTCTATGCCCAAAATCAAGTCCAGGTCCATTGAAGATGGCGGGACAGACACAACAACATCAAGACAGATATCTTATGCAAATTCTGCTTTTGAATCATGCCAGGAACCTACAGATTTGATGGGAGCTGAGGAAAAGCCAGAAAAGAATGTGTTGAAGATACAGGACAACTTGCAATCACAGCAGGTTCCAACCAAGGACGATTTTGAGGGTATTGAACTTGTGGTCGAAACTGATGACAGGAAAAATCCATCAAGTGTTAAGAACTTGAAGGCCTTTTTTGCAGAACCATCCAATGATGACTTGTTTAATGCAATGCGAGAAAGTTCGGAGAAATTGGAAAAAACCTTAGAAGTGTAATATTAAGCTTATAACTGCCAGGAAAAATAGTGTTACGCGATCATGTAAATAAGGGTTTGAATCTAAATGACGTTTTATGCAATGTAAATATGGTTATAACTTGCAATTGTATCGTATACAATGTTACCATGGAAACAGTGTTTCATTCTGTTTGGAATATTACAGCATCAAATCATGGTATATTTCCTAATACAGTTAAATTATGTTCTTGTGGCACCTGTTTGAACAGAAACTTGCATAGTTATTTGACTCGGGGTAATTGTTGTGTGTATGTTCTTGGTAGAATAATCAGCAATATTCCGGCTATTTGGGGGTGTCCTGTAAATAATCGAGTCTGGACCAGACAATCCAGTGACTGACATCATCAGTATCGATCTACGCAATTGGGATACGATGACAGGCATCAAACAATTCAGTGAGCCTTATCATCAGTTACTCGCCTCTTCCGATAAGCATGGTTTGCTGAAGACCAATTCTAACCCGGATCTTCACGGGTCAGATCACCTTAGCACTGCTATGACTCTGTGTAACTCGGATTTTTACGGGTGTTCGGGTGTATGAGGAAATAACATGTATCCATTATCTCGCGGCGCATGTTTTAGTACTTTTTGTACATATACATTGTCCATCGCATTTGTGTTCAGGGCCTTGCCAGGGTCTTCATAATATACTGGTTTTATATTATAATCGGAAGAAGACATTTTCTTGGAGACTGGAGTTCATGTTTGACTAATGTACAAATGATCCTCTTATATAACATTAAATAACACTGTTCTGTGTGTAAACCGATATTACATCTTTTTTATCCTTATGTGCAAATATAATCGATTACAGACATTTTGATTGATGAATGCGCGCAAGCAGTTGAATCTGGTCCCTAGCATGCAAACATTACAATGTCCAGCAGAGGCTTTAACTACTGAAACATATATCTCCTTTTCGTGTGTGCGTGCGTGCGTGTGTGCGTGTGTGAAAGTTCGCGTGTGGGTCCGACAGAGGCGTGCGTGAGTCTAAGTACGATTTGTTATGCCGGTGCTTATGGCTTCAAACGTACCAACACATATTCAGCCAGGGAACAAAACAGGCCTAGGTACATACAACTCCAGGGACGGTGGAGTAGCCTAGCGATTAAAGCGTTCGCTCGTCACGCCAAAGACCCGGGTTCGATTCCCCACATGGGTACAACGCATGAAGCCAATTTATGGTGTCCCCCGCAGTGATATTGCTGGAATATTGCTAAAAACGGCGTAAAACTAAACTCACTCACATACAACTCCATGTAAAATCCGATGTTTACATCTTTGTGACCTGACCCAACAATGGAGCATCCCTGGTCTACCTTTCCGTCAACTTCAACACTTCGCTGGTTAGGCAACATACAGGCTTAATCTTACCTGACAGACATTTGAAATAACTTGTGTACTCAGGTAACACGGCATGTTACTAACAACATGTGGCGTGTATTGTGTCTATAGGTCAGGATTCACTGGAACATTGTGTGACGAATGTGAGTGAGTATGGTTTTACGCCGCTTTTGGTAATATTTCAGCAATATCGGGGAACACTAGAAATGGGCTTCACACATTGGACCCATGTGGGGAATTGAACCCGGGTCTTCGGCGTGACGATCGAGGTAACGCTTTAACCAGTAGGCTACCTCACCGTCCCTGACGAATGTGAGGTGAGGTGAGGTTAAATTGGGTTTAACGTCGTGCTTGAGAATATTTCGCTCATATGACGACGTGCATGCGTGTATGTGTATGTGTATGTGCGGCTGCTTGTACTAGTCCAGACTTAAGCTGGTTTTATAGTGCTAGCTCACTGAGATACCACGCGCAGTGAAGCATGAATATCCCACTCAGACACATTATACTGACTCCGAACCGACCAGTCCTTGTTGTGCCCATTAATGCCGAGCGCCAGGCAGGAACCAACAAGTACCATATTTTAACGTCTTTTGGTATGACGCGGTCGGGGATCGAACTCGCGACCTTCCGCTCTCCGGGCGGACGCTCTAACCACTACACCACGGAGGCGGTCGACGAATGTGAGACCAACCCCTGCACTGTCAACTCAACATGTCAGAATGGAGGTACCTGTCTTCAAAATAAAGCCTGTGAACCCAAATTTGAGCGTCTGTCTTGAAGGTACAGTAGTTGGCCGTAAGTGAGTCATCATCAGTGAAATTCCCATAGACTTGCAAGTTTATTAACTCTTGTAAGAATAATTTTCATAAATATAGTTTCGTTCGAATTGCGCTCAATACGTATCTACCAGCTGGGAAATCATCTCAGCTACATACACATGATTTCAATTCAATTTTCCGATGATTATTAAGAAAACTGCAACTATTTAAACAACATATATAGACATACCAGTCAGGTTTAACATTGCTGTCTATGGGATAGATTACAAGTTGTACATATATATGGTGCCATCAGGTGTCATTCGATAACTATTCAAAGTAAAGATGAAATAAAATTATGTACGTAGCTGAAGATGATTTTCAAGATGTTTGCAAAATATCAAAATAAAATGACTTCTACTCAATTTATGAAAATTATTCTTGCAACAGTTAATAAACATGTAAGTCTTTGAAAATTTCACTAATGATGACTCACTTATGGCCAACTACTGTAGCTCATTTGTCGAGGTAAACCTTGGAAGTTTTATGTTAATATGGTACAAACAAACATCAGCTTCTGTACAAAGTTTTCTATCAGTCGAGCCAAATTAAAAAGTGACTAACACCAAGTTTATAGTTACTTTGTAACCATGGGAACAAAGAAAAAAATATGTATAGTGTTTGCATAAACTCTTAAATAAAAAAAAATAAAAAAAGTTTATAGGAATGTTTTGTATGGTGTCCGTAAAGAAAGCAAAGTTTTCTATCAGTCGAGCCAAATAACAAAGTGACTAACACCAAGTTTGTAGGAATGTTTTGTATGGTGTCCGTCAAGAAACCATGTTATAAATTGTTGTCCTAGAAATACATGTTAAATCAACTGAAACATATCAACCTAACTAGACTAATGCTTAGTCTCTGAAAAGATATAATTGTGATAGTAACAAACAAACCTATTATAAATTGAAAAGGAGCCCCAAGGAGACCAAAGATTCACATCCTGAACATGGGCAAATCTAGACTTGCTTCATTTAGGGCTTTAGCACTGCAGGAAACGCTAGGCTGTAGAGAAAATAATGTGGTTCGGGGACTGTGAGACAGACTACAACTTAACATATTCCGAAAGATTTGTTAAAAATCACGAAGTATATCAAGCTATTGCATCCGAACTAAAACTAATTAATAAACTAATATAACGTTTACTGGAAACAATATTCCCCGGTACCAGTCATCTTCGATAATCTCCAGGGTATACGTTACGATCACTCTCCACTATACCCTGGATGCATCCACGGCTTGGCCCGACAATTATATTACCTCCCTTTGCTAGCTCCGCATCTCACAGTAGCCAATCAGCTAAGCCGCCGTTACATCCGAGCTTGCCAGTGTCAACAAAGATAGCGGTCGCAGTCGCGAAGGCTTGTTCGCAGTGCCACTCAGATTTTTGAGGAAATAATGCAGACAAATTGACAGATTGTGAAACTTTAAAAACAAATATAAAAGAACTCCTTCTACCTCTTTCAGTCTACCTCTGCATCAATTGTGTTGCCAAGTTTAAACGGTTCGATAATTTAAGAAGCGAAAGTGAGTTGTGATTGGTTCGCTCAACTTCCCAGCGTAGACACCTGATTGGGTAAAAAGCCAGCCAAGGGAGGTAATAAAATCATCGGGCCAAGCCGTGGATGCATCCAGGGTATAGTGGAGAGTGATCGTAACGTATTACCCTGGAGATTATCGAGGATGATGTCCAGTTGGCATCGTTCGGGGCTGTATGAACGTTTCGTTCGTTTGTGGTTGTTGTTGTTGTTGTTGGTTAACACTGCTCTCCGCAATATTCCAGCGATGTGGCAGCGGTCTGTATAGAATCAATTCTGGACCAGACAATCCAGTGACTGACATCATTAACATCGATCAAGGAAATGGGGATACGTTGCCAGGTGTCAACCAGGGTGCCGATGTATAAAGCGATCTTGCGGCAAAGGTGATCGTAACTTCCATAACATAACATAGACTACTGTCGTAGCGCTAAGGTTGTTTTGTACAACGGAAGGATATGAGTCTGCGAGCCTGACCACTCGATCCCGTTAGTAGCCTTTCACGACAAGCATGGGTTGCTGAAGACCAGTTCTAACCTGGATATTCATCGGTATCAGCCGATAATCGATACCGGATGTACCCTGGTGATGAACTTTCATATGTAAGTGATACCTGAAAGTTTTAAAGCTTTAATACAACCGTACTGGGCAGGGCCAAGCACGACTTGTGTGAGCGTCATACAATCGGTGTCACGCTCCTGCGTCGTGTCATTGACAAGGAAGAACATTTTAATATTTCATGACATGTGTTTCGTGATATGTTTGAGGAAGTTCAACACTTTTTCATTAGGAGTGGGAATACTTTCGAACATAATACCTCACATTATGACATAAAAGCTCTGATTAAGTCGACTGCCATGTAAAAAATATATTAGCAATATTTTAGTAGTACGTCTTAAAAATATAATTTCCTGAAACGGTGTAGTGGGGTCTCTAACAAAGCTAACAGAAGTCAGTGGTGAGCTGAGACTATTCATACAGGGGAAAGTTTACCGCCAGTGCGTCTGAAGGTGTCAGTGTGCCTCTAGTTTATGTTTACGATCAGTATGTACCAGGGGAATGTTTACCGCCAGTGCGTCTGAAGGTGTCAGTGTGCCTCTAGTTTATGTTTACGATCAGTATGTACCAGGGGAATGTTTACCACCAGTGCGTCTGAAGGTGTCAGTGTGTCTCTAGTTTGTTTACGATCGGTTTGTACCAGGGAAAGGTTTACCGCCAGTGCGTCTGAAGGTGTCATTGTTCCTCTAGTTTATGTTTACGATCTGTTTGTACCAGGGAAAAGTTTACGACCAGTGCGTCTGAAGGTGTCAGTGTGTCCCTAGTTTATGTTTACCATCAGTATGTACCAAGGGAATGTTTACCACCAGTGCGTCTGAAGGTGTCAGTGTGCCTCTAGTTTGTTTACGATCGGTTTGTACCAGGGAAAAGTTTACCGCCAGTGCGTCTGAAGGTGTCAGTGTGCCTCTAGTTTATGTTAACGATCAGTATATACCAGGGGAATGTTTACCACCAGTGCGTCTGAAGGTGTCAGTGTGCCTCTAGTTTATGTTTACGATCTGTTTGTACCAGGGAAAAGTTTACCACCAGTGCGTCTGAAGGTGTCAGTGTGCCTCTAGTTTATGTTAACGATCAGTATATACCAGGGGAATGTTTACCACCAGTGCGTCTGAAGGTGTCAGTGTGCCTCTAGTTTATGTTTACGATCAGTATGTACCAGGGGAATGTTTACCACCAGTGCGTCACTTTTATGCAGTGTAAATATGGTTATAACTTGCAACTGTATCGTATACAATGTTACCATGGAAACAGTGTTTCATTCTGTTTGGAATATTACAGCATCAAATCATGGTATATTTCCTAATACAGTTAAATTATGTTCTTGTGGCACCTGTTTGAACAGAAACTTGCATAGTTATTTGACTCGGGGTAATTGTTGTGTGTATGTTCTTGGTAGAATAATCAGCAATATTCCGGCTATTTGGGGGTGTCCTGTAAATAATCGAGTCTGGACCAGACAATCCAGTGACTGACATCATCAGTATCGATCTACGCAATTGGGATACGATGACAGGCATCAAACAATTCAGTGAGCCTTATCATCAGTTACTCGCCTCTTCCGATAAGCATGGTTTGCTGAAGACCAATTCTAACCCGGATCTTCACGGGTCAGATCACCTTAGCACTGCTATGACTCTGTGTAACCCGGATTTTTACGGGTGTTCGGGTGTATGAGGAAATAACATGTATCCATTATCCACTTTTTGTACATATACATTGTCCATCGCATTTGTGTTCAGGGCCTTGCCAGGGTCTTCATAATATACTGGTTTTATATTATAATCGGAAGAAGACATTTTCTTGGAGACTGGAGTTCATGTTTGACTAATGTACAAATGATCCTCTTATATAACATTAAATAACACTGTTCTGTGTGTAAACCGATATTACATCTTTTTTATCCTTATGTGCAAATATAATCGATTACAGACATTTTGATTGATGAATGCGCGCAAGCAGTTGAATCTGGTCCCTAGCATGCAAACATTACAATGTCCAGCAGAGGCTTTAACTACTGAAACATATATCTCCTTTTCGTGTGTGCGTGCGTGCGTGTGTGCGTGTGTGAAAGTTCGCGTGTGGGTCCGACAGAGGCGTGCGTGAGTCTAAGTACGATTTGTTATGCCGGTGCTTATGGCTTCAAACGTACCAACAAATACTCAGCCAGGGAACAAAACAGGTCTAGATACATACAACTCCAGGGACGGTGGGGTAGCCTAGCGATTAAAGCGTTCGCTCGTCACGCCAAAGACCCGGGTTCGATTCCCTACATGGGTACAACGCATGAAGCCAATTTATGGTGTCCCCCGCAGTGATATTGCTGGAATATTGCTAAAAACGGCGTAAAACTAAACTCACTCACATACAACTCCATGTAAAATCCGATGTTTACATCTTTGTGACCTGCCCCAACAATGGAGCATCCCTGGTCTACCTTTCCGTCATCTTCAACACTTCGCTGGTTAGGCAACATACAGGCTTAATCTTACCTGACAGACATTTGAAATAACTTGTGTACTCAGGTAACACGGCATGTTACTAACAACTTGTGGCGTGTATTGTGTCTATAGGCCAGGATTCACTGGAACATTGTGTGACGAATGTGAGTGAGTGTGGTTTTACGCCGCTTTTGGTAATATTTCAGCAATATTGGGGAACACTAGAAATGGGCTTCACACATTGGACCAATGTGGGGAATTGAACCCCGGGTCTTCGGCGTGACGATCGAGGTAACGCTTTAACCAGTAGGCTACCTCACCGTCCCTGACGAATGTGAGGTGAGGTGAGGTGAAATTGGGTTTAACGTCGTGCTTGAGAATATTTCGCTCATATGACGACGTGCATTCGTGTGTATGTGTATGTGTATGTGCGGCTGCTTGTACTAGCCCAGACTGAAGCTGGTTTTATAGTGCTAGCTCACTGAGATACCACGCGCAGTGAAGCATGAATACCCCACTCAGACACATTATACTGACTCCGAACCGACCAGTCCTTGTTGTGCCCATTAATGCCGAGCGCCAGGCAGGGACCAACAAGTACCATATTTTAACGTCTTTTGGTATGACACGGTCGGGGATCGAACTCGCGACCTTCCGCTCTCCGGGCGGACGCTCTAACCACTACACCACGGAGGCGGTCGACGAATCTGAGACCAACCCCTGCACTGTCAACTCAACATGTCAGAATGGAGGTACCTGTCTTCAAAATAAAGCCTGTGAACCCAAATTTGAGCGTCTGTCTTGAAGGTACAGTAGTTGGCCGTAAGTGAGTCATCATCAGTGAAATTCCCATAGACTTGCAAGTTTATTAACTCTTGTAAGAATAATTTTCATAAATTTAGTTTCGTTCGAATTGCGCTCAATACGTATCTACCAGCTGGGAAATCATCTCAGCTACATACACATGATTTCAATTCAATTTTCCGATGATTATTAAGAAAACTGCAACTATTTAAACAACATATATAGACATACCAGTCAGGTTTAACATTGCTGTCTATGGGATAGATTACAAGTTGTACTTATATATGGTGCTTTATCAGGTGTCATTCGATAACTATTCAAAGTAAAGATGAAATAAAATTATGTCCGTAGCTGAAGATGATTTTCAAGATGTTTGCAAAATATCAAAATAAAATGACTTCTACTCAATTTATGAAAATTATTCTTGCAACAGTTAATAAACATGTAAGTCTTTGAAAATTTCACTAATGATGACTCACTTATGGCCAACTACTGTAGCTCATCTGTCGAGGTAAACCTTGGAAGTTTTATGTTAATATGGTACAAACAAACATCAGCTTCTGTACAAAGTTTTCTATCAGTCGAGCCAAATTAAAAAGTGACTAACACCAAGTTTATAGTTACTTTGTAACCATGGGAACAAAGAAAAAAATATGTATAGTGTTTGCATAAACTCTTAAATAAAAAAAAATAAATAAAAAAAGTTTATAGGAATGTTTTGTATGGTGTCCGTAAAGAAAGCAAAGTTTTCTATCAGTCGAGCCAAATAACAAAGTGACTAACACCAAGTTTGTAGGAATGTTTTGTATGGTGTCCGTAAAGAAACCATGTTATAAATTGTTGTCCTAGAAATACATGTTAAATCAACTGAAACATATCAACCTAACTAGACTAATGCTTAGTCTCTGAAAGATATAATTGTGATAGTAACAAACAAACCTATTATAAATTGAAAAGGAGCCCCAGGGAGACCAAAGATTCACATCCTGAACCTGGGCAAATCTAGACTTGCTTCATTTAGGGCTTTAGCACTGCAGGAAACGCTAGGCTGTAGAGAAAAAAATGTGGTTCGGGGACTGTGAGACAGACTACAACTTAACATATTCCGAAAGATTTGTTAAAAATCACGAAGTATATCAAGCTATTGCATCCGAACTAAAACTAATTAATAAACTAATATAACGTTTACTGGAAACAATATCCCCCGGTACCAGTCATCCTCGATAATCTCCAGGGTATACGTTACGATCACTCTCCACTATACCCTGGATGCATCCACGGCTTGGCCCGACAATTATATTACCTCCCTTTGCTAGCTCCGCATTCTCACAGTAGCCAATCAGCTAAGCCGCCGTTACATCAGAGCTTACCAGTGTCAACAAAGATAGCGGTCGCAGTCGCGAAGGCTTGTTCGCAGTGCCACTCAGATTTTTGAGGAAATAATACAGACAAATTGACAGATTGTGAAACTTTAAAAACAAATATAAAAGAACTCCTTCTACCTCTGCATCAATTGTGTTGCCAAGTTTAAACGGTTCGATAATTTAAGAAGCGAAAGTGAGTTGTGATTGGTTCGCTCAACTTCCCAGCGTAGACACCTGATTGGGTAAAAAGCCAGCCAAGGGAGGTAATAAAATCATCGGGCCAAGCCGTGGATGCATCCAGGGTATAGTGGAGAGTGATCGTAACGTATTACCCTGGAGATTATCGAGGATGATGTCCAGTTGGCATCGTTCGGGGCTGTATGAACGTTTCGTTCGTTTGTTGTTGTTGTTGTTGGTTAACACTGCTCTCCGCAATATTCCAGCGATGTGGCAGCGGTCTGTATATAATCAATTCTGGACCAGACAATCCAGTGACTGACATCATCAACATCGATCAACGAAATGGGGATACGTTGACATGTGTCAACCAGGGTGCCGATGTATAAAGCGATCTTACGGCAAAGGTGATCGTAACTTCCATAACATAACATAGACTACTGTCGTAGCGCTAAGGTTGTTTTGTACAACGGCAAGAAATGAGTCAGCGAGCCTGACCACTCGATCCCGTTAGTAGCCTTTCACGACAAGCATGGGTTGCTGAAGACCAGTTCTAACCCGGATATTCATCGGTATCAGCGGATAATCGATACCGGATGTACCCTGGTGATGAACTTTCATATGTAAGTGATACCTGAAAGTTTTAAAGCTCTTATACAACCGATTCATACAGGGGAAAGTTTACCGCCAGTGCGTCTGAAGGTGTCAGTGTGCCTCTAGTTTATGTTTACGATCAGTATGTACCAGGGGAATGTTTACCACCAGTGCGTCTGAAGGTGTCAGTGTGCCTCTAGTTTGTTTACGATCGGTTTGTACCAGGGAAAGGTTTACCGCCAGTGCGTCTGAAGGTGTCATTGTGCCTCTAGTTTATGTTTACGATCTGTTTGTACCAGGGAAAAGTTTACCACCAGTGCGTCTGAAGGTGTCAGTGTGCCTCTAGTTTATGTTTACGATCAGTATGTACCAGGGGAATGTTTACCACCAGTGCGTCTGAAGGTGTCAGTGTGCCTCTAGTTTATGTTTACGATCAGTATGTACCAGGGGAATGTTTACCACCAGTGCGTCTGAAGGTGTCAGTGTGTCTCTAGTTTATGTTTACGATCAGTATGTACCAGGGGAATGTTTACCACCAGTGCGTCTGAAGGTGTCAGTGTGCCTCTAGTTTATGTTTACGATCAGTATGGACCAGGGGAATGTTTACCACCAGTGCGTCTGAAGGTGTCAGTGTGCCTCTAGTTCGTTTACGATCGGTTTGTACCAGGGGAATGTTTACCACCAGTGCGTCTGAAGGTGTCAGTGTGCCTCTAGTTTATGTTTACGATCAGTATGTACCAGGGGAATGTTTACCACCAGTGCGTCTGAAGGTGTCAGTGTGCCTCTAGTTTATGTTTACGATCAGTATGTACCAGGGGAATGTTTACCACCAGTGCGTCTGAAGGTGTCAGTGTGCCTCTAGTTTATGTTTACGATCTGATCGTCTGGAAGCCTGTATCTATTGCCTGTGCTCACAAGGAGAATGTTAACGACCAGTGTGTGCGAGATAAATGTTAATGACCCAAAGGGAATCTTCAGATAAAGATAATTAACGGCAATCCCATTGTGCCATATTCTTGATTTATTATTTAATGGGTAGTATTGGTATTCATATGATGCATGAGAACAAAAACACTTTTCGTAGTAATGTGTATTTTAGATGCCACTATGTGTACATGACCAATTACACAGACAAACAGACATCCCCATGATGGGCTTCGATTACAATGTTTTGGTCACATTAATGTCCATTCATATAAGCATATATTGTTGATCACAAGTCTTGTTAACACCAAGTATATGGATCTCTCAAACATCTTTTGGGTTTCAGTCAGTATGCAACAACCGCTTAAATGGTCCTGACCACAATACCTGTACAGCTGTACAAAGGCCAGTCAATATAATGAGTGAGTTTTGTTTGTACCCCGCTTTTAGCAATATTCCAGCAATATCAGGGCAGGGAACACCAGAAATGGGATTCACTCATTGTGCCCATGTTGGGAATCGAACCTGGGTCTTCAGCTTGACGTAGCGAGCGCCTTAACCACTAGGCTACCCCACCACCCCTCAGTCAACATAAACACATTCCAGTTTCACTGAAATTTTGACAAGATCTTAAAAGAGGTCGTCCTGCTTCACCATCACACATGATTTCAAACATAGACAGGTACAACTGAAACTGTTCACTGTGTGACATAATTGAAAAACAGTCTTGTATCAAAAAAAGCATCAATCATTGACAGGATTACCGGTACACAGATTTGTCAAATTCTCATTCACACAGCTTTGGGCAGGTCTCACTCTCACAGCTTTGGGCATGTCTCACTCTTACAGCTTTGGGAAGGTCTTGCGCACACAGATTTATGTCGTTCTCACGCACACAGATTCATGCCGTTCTCACTCACACAGCTTTGGGCAGGTCTCACTCACACAGCTTTGTGTAGGTCTCACTGCTGCTTCCATGCCATGTCTTGTGAAGGTTCATCAAGGAAATGAATTATTTCAACCTGAGACATAGATTCAGCATCCTCAGACGTTGTCCTTGTTATAATAGCCAGATGGAGATGGAGGCTGCATGATAAGATTGAGATATGTGAAGTTCAGAAACTCGTGTGTCAGTGTGTCAGGAACCGGATGAAGCCTGTGTTACTTGAACACCAGATGTAGAGGCAACAGGGGTGTCTGTGTTATCAGCAGGATCTGTTTCAGGCTCCATGCCATCTACATCTTCCACTCCCCCCATCTGTGTCAACTTCATCTTCATCCGGAATGCTCTGCCTGTGAGCTGCAGTTGAAAAGAATAAGTTTCAGAAAATTCCCTTTCATCCATGCTTCATCTTTTTCACTTAAACCAGAACATGAAATACAGTAGAACATGGTTATAGCGAACACGGATATAGTGTACAAACGGATATAGCGAACAAATTTAAAAGTACCGTCAACAGTCCTTTATAATATCATTAAAATTATACGTGAATAACGAACTCGTGAGTAGCGAATTAACGGCTATAGCGAACTGATTTACTACCCCCAAGACCCAATTAACGACGTGATTAGCGAACTCACTCAGTGTCAGCTCAGCCACTTAGCGGTACAGTATACATCAATCTTGTTGGCGGCGAATCAACATTGAATTGATGGTCATTAATTAATTAACAAAACAAACATATCGTGTTTAACCCATTCAACAACCGTTTTCGTTGACGAGGACGGTATCCATTGCCGTAGTATGATTGGCTGCCTTAGGTCACGTGTCTGATTTTGACCAATCACGATCCTTATAGCAGACTGTGGCGAAAAAGCGTCATTAGAAACCAATCTTTATCCAATAAAATCGCTTTTTTTACAACTGTGAAAATACTCTCGGCGAGGGTACAGTGATATTGTTGATGTTCCAGAGCTGTCGAACGATACCAGACACCACACGATTCACCTCGCATGTTATTCATTTGAAGCTTCGAAAACGGAGGTATTTCCCGTTGTTGTGTCATGTTAACGAACGGAAAGCCTGATTACATAAAAATGAAAATATAAAAGAAAAAGGCACGGGCATGTCACAAATGGAAAAAAAATCGCTACAGTTTTTGCTTCTTTCGTGGTTTATCTGGACATTAGAAATGTAAGCTTGCATTTTCATTAAAAAAATAAATGTATTTAAGTTGTAGTTGTATATTTTCAATTTTATTATAAAAATAAACTTCATATTTATCAACATGATATAGGTAATGTCTGTGAATGTCTACATCTCTACAATCCAAGATGGCGGTCAAATGTGAATAACGAACAACGGATATAGCGAACTAAATTTCTTGGTCCCTTGGAGTTCGTTATATCCGTGTTCTACTGTACTCACTTTGAAACTACAAATTTGAATTTAGTAACATTTGGCAAACTGGCCACAAAAATCAAATTACACTGTTATGTATAATCAGGACGTAACACTACATACCATGAGTTGATGGACCACAGCACAAAAACACATCTTGTCTGGTGCTTCAAACATTGACTAAGTTGTGATGGTGGGTCACTATAATTTGTATGCTTCTCTCAAGGGTAATACGGTCTGATGTACGCCTCTTTGTAGCAGTGTCACCCGAGCCGGTAGGCGAGGGATGACACTGCTACAAAGAGGCGTACATCAGACCGTGTTACCTGAGGGAGAAGCATACAACGTATTTATCTTACCGCCATGTTAAATGTACAAAATATCATTTTATTTTATGTTATAGATCGCTACCGACTATATGACATGCAAACAAAATGGTGTCTGCCTCTCGACTGGATTTTTAACATCAGTGAAACATATTCTGACATACATAAAACTGCCATAAAAATGGTTAATTATGTTTAAGCTGAGTGTGCAAACCACTCAATGTATAAAATAGCTTAAATAAAGCAGTGAAAATAAATGTGTACAAAGTGAACACAAAAACAGATGATCGAATGGCTTTCGAACTCGGGGCACAGCATGCGTCATATTATGACGTCATACGATTGTTAGCGCTTCAGCTTCTCGGCGGAGAGCTTGGCGTTTACCGTGGCAGCGGGTAATATTTTTTCCAGTTGTCGCCCTCCTGGGAGGGTGACACAGAAACTTGTTAAACCGTCATTGACCAATGAAATTAAAGTATTTTACATGAAGGTAAGATAAAATATAATTATGATACACTGTTTCTTTCACCCACATCAAAAAGCAAAGTATATCATCATTACTGATAGACTATCATAACAGTAAGCCCCTCTGATTAAACATTCGTGAAGATCCGGGTTAGAATTGGTCTCCTGTAACCCATGTTTGTCCAAAGGGGCAACAAACAGGATCGGGTGGTCAGACTCGCTGACTTGGTTGTCACATGTCATTGCATCCTAATAGCGTAGATCCATACTAATGCTGTTGATCACTGGATTGTGTGGTCCAGACACAATTATTTACAGCCCGCCATATTGCTGAGTGCAGCAATAAATAACAAAAACAAAACACTCTGATTAACCTCCAGTCAGTGGAGGGGCAGTGGGGTAGCCTAGTGGTTACAGTGATTGCTCATCATGCCGAAGACCTTGGTTCGATTCCCCACATGGGTATAATGTGTGAAGAACATTTCTGGTGTTCCCCGCAGTGATATTGCTGGAATATTGCTAAAAGCGGCGTCAAAACCATACTAACTCAAGTCAGTGGATGAGTGAGTGCAAATTAAGATCTAAACATTCTGTATTCTTAATATTATAGAATATCTATAGATTTAATTATGCTAAATTGAATTTGGAATCAAGGGTGAAGTGAATCAGTTGTATACTGAACAGTATGGTGCGTCAGCTGACCATGCAGTCCATAAGCAAGGTGAACACCCTCCTCCTTTCACACAGTCAAATTTGTCCTGAATTGTTTTGATTACTGATCTAATATATTGTACAAACATACTGGACATTTACAAACTTACTCTCTGCAATGTTCTTGCTCTGGAGGAATGCCCTCTTCATCACCAGCTTCTTGCGAGTGGAGCAGACGTACTCCAGGTCCTTCAAATCGGAGTCAGGTGCTGAGGGGTCTGAAAAAATACAGGTTAAGTTAACACTTACATCACAATGGGAACATTTCAACTACATGTACATATAGGTCCGTCTCCTATTCTCGCGGTAAACACGTTTTCTGCCGAAATCGCCGATGCGCGACACTTACCGGTTGTTTACATCACCGACTGGTAACTAGGAAGTGGACCAAGTCTGTAAGTGATCAAAATGTTTCAGTGTCATGAATATTGGGGAGTTTATACCAACTTGGACATATCATTACTTTTCCCCGCCCTTTCTGGCAGGATTGCTCTAACGTACACTCAATAACGTTAATTCCTGGTAATACCGCGAGAATGGGAGAAGCCTAGTTTCGTCAATGGCGGATCATATTGTTTATCACCGGGCTCACGAGTTGTAATTCACCTGATGGATTTAGCAGCTGATAGATGTAGATGTTAGAGGAGAAGGCCCTTCATTAAAAAACAACAAGCATTCATATAATAAGAATTGTTTGCGTTATTTTTTCAGCCGATATCCGTAAGTACCGCGAGAATAGGATATGCCTTCTTACATTTATATTTACCAACAAATTTCAACCCATGAAGGTCTGGGTTAGAATTGGTCTTAAGCAACCCATGCTTGTCATTGAGGTGACTAACAGGATCGGGTGGTCAGACTCGCTGACCTGCAGAGGCCCAGATAAGCTGCGCATCCGGGTAAAATATGCATAGAAAATTTCCAATTACGCATTGAAAAATAATTGTTGCATACCAATTATGCATTGAAAATGTTAGATACGCATACAAAATTTAAAACAAATGCATACGGAATATATTTATAAAAATCGCTTGCGTAATGAAAAAGACATTGATTGCTATAAAGTTGTACTGTTAGTATAGGACAAGTGTTGTACTTGTCAGTGTAGGATGAGTGATTTTTTTATGAAATCATTTCCATATTATTTAATTTAGTTTTGATTAGGTATGACATAAGGCAGAACATACCTGCTTAGTAAACTTACTCAATGACATAATACTTAGGTGAGTAAAATGACTGAAATATGCACATATTTGAAAGCAGTGGGTAACGGAAAATGAAATACCCACTCAACATTCATAATACCCACTCCAAAAAAATACAGTGGGTACAGTACCCACATGAGCTAAATCTGATCTGGAGCTCTGGACCTGGTTGATACATGTCATTGTATCCCAATTGCGTAGATCGATGTGCATGCTGTTGAACAGACCCGGTCAAGATTCGGAATATTGCCTGCGTTAAACAACAAACAAAAAAAAAAATACCAAAAGCCTTGACTTACCAGCAGGTATTCCTTTAAATATCATGGCTGTTCCAATTGCATCTTCATATTCCCCAGCGAAGACATAGTTTTCAATTTGAAGAACAGGCCGATCAGTGTCTATACCCTGAAGCAAATAAAAAGCAGTTAAATATTGTAATATTTTTTAGAAAATATAATTGATGCCTCAGTCATGTGAAGTAAAATATCATAACGAAACTTCTTGTCTCTTAATGTGTTGTTCTAGTTTCCAGAGGTATTAAGCTTGTATCCTAATCATATGACTAAACTCTGCACTGTGTTAGAGATAAGCGAGATGGGTGGGGTGGTAACAGTGACTCTTGTGAAGGTATGGGGACTGATGACGTAACCTTGTGGCTAAACTTTAAAGCGTTCGCTTGTCATGCCAAAGACCCAGGTTCAATTCCCTTCATAGGTACAATGTGTAAATCCCATTTCTGGTCTTTGATTAGGCAGGAGCAAAAGAGGTTCATTCGTCCAAACGATGCAATTTGCTGTGCAGAGTTGCTTCCCTTGGGTGAGCCAGACACCTATGAGGGGTTTGATTCCCATTCTACCTCTCCTCCTACATTCAGCTGACACCCTGTGATTGAACTGTAATACTCTTACAAACAGCATCAAACCCAACTCACTCACTCATTAGTGATCAGGCTTTCAAACCAATAGTTAGTGAACCTCACACTCTGAGACACTTAATTGACAGCACACAAAGTCAGCAATCTAACCCACTCAGCCTTCTTGGCTCTCACTAAAACAGCAATCTGACAAGTGTAAATTGGCATGGCTTCCACAGTCAAAAGCCGTAAACACACAATACCAATTAGACAGTGGTCAAATGTAACATGTCACATTTGACATGGAGCGTGTGAGAAGCCCAGATGGGTCTCAACCTCACAAACTACTAGAATCTATACTTTACCGAAAAAGCTAAATGAAGAATAATCATTTTTAATTTGTTATTATTGATTTACTGATTATTATTCACATTTTTCATACCAACATAAGCTGTAATGTCTCAAGATACACAGGGTGTAAATTCATTTGTTACCCTTCACATAATTAGAACAAGCATTGTCACTAAGGTGACATAATCCCTCGCCGCAAATTATCAAATCAAACTTAAAAAGTAATGAAAGTGAAGGTCGTAATTTAAGATGAAGTTAAATGTAAACAAAAACATGACCAGTCAACCTCTCTTGATATCTTGCTCTGTAGTTGTTCAAACGCACAAATATTTTCAAGATTCACTTTGACCTTGACATGAATGTCTTAGTGTACGAAATATGCAAAAATAGTAATAAAGAAATTGCTTATTGAAAAACATTCAAGGGAAGTCTTGAAAGTCTATGAAGAACTAATTGTATTGTATCAGAATACTGTACCACCATAACTTTACACCACTAATTTGTTCTAATATATGCTGACTAGGCAGAACGTATATACCTACCAACACTTCACATTTCAGATTGTCTTTCTTCAGGGTTTCACTGTCGATCAGTCCAGACAACTCAGCCACAACCAGTGTCTGTTGATGACATAAAAAACAATGGACAATAAATACATTCAGCATTTCTAAACATGTTCTGAAAACATAAACATAATATGTGCACATGTTACCTTTGTTACAATGCTCAAGATCTTGCATTCATCACGTTTAAGGGGTGAGTGAGATTAGTTGGGATATGACGATATGTGTCTACAGGACAATGGCAGACACGTTTGTCACAGAATAATGCTTCAAATCAAATTGCATCAGCACTGTTCAATACTAAATTGAGGATGAACAATTTAAGTCTTATTTATTAGAAGCATTCTTACTTGTGATTGAGAGGGTATGTGGGTCATAATTCATATAGCTTAGTGATATATATCTTTAATCTGGTAAACATGCCAAAGGCAACTGTGAGTGAGTTTAGTTTTATGCCTCTTTTAGCAATATTCCAGCAATATCACAGCGTACCAGAAATGGGCTTCATACAATGTACCCATGGGGGGAATCAAACCCGGGTGTCCAGCGTGACTAGTGAACACTTTAACCAGTAGGATACTCCACTGCCCCTAAAAGCCACAGGCCACAAGAACACTACAATTCGTCCCTCTGTCCATAGTATAACATTCAACCACAGGATCAAACCAACATTCTTTTTAAGTGATACACGATTTCCAATGACGCATTAGTAGTATTTAGAATTAATGTATTTCATATAAGCATGATGGCATTTAAGCAAATACTAATGTTCATTTTCAGTTAATCTAATAGAATAGCAGACACAATATCTACAGTGGGTGCTCTCCTGGTCAGCACCTGTGCCATTTCAATCATCAGACGACCCTGTATGACATCCACATCTCAATCTGGTCAGGATCTGTTTCAACACAACTCGGTGAACCTATGCGTAGTACGATGCACTCATTAACACTATTAACAATGTTGTCTTTAGTTGCCATATGCTGTATCTTAATACTAAATAGGTCAGTTATACAAGGTGTTTTTATGATGTGGTCCCATAGAAATGGATGTTGACTCATTCTGAAGCTTTGGCGAAGTCAATAAACATGATAAAGAAACAATAGAATCTTCCACCTGTGGATTTCTATAAATATTTCCTGATTTTACAGAGTAAACATATTGTGAGCTGTTGAAATTCTCTCTGGAATCCAGTTTGATTTTCATTGACAATATTATCAGAAGTCCATTTTTGAAAATCGACAAAGGACCTGTAACATAGACATACAACTGCCTTGTACCATTCTGCGGGAAAATGTCAATTTATTATTTTATTTATCAAATAAGTCTATAAAGATTGTAGCTATCACCATGATGACTAGAATGGAATTTTGAAGCAGATCAGATGTGTGTTCATCCCTTGGGCTTTCTTTGGGGAAACATATCTCTTTCACTTCGTGTAGGGGTGTGTCCATATTTATTCAGGAACAATTATGATAATCAATTGGCAACTTCATTTGCTTCTGAGGAAGTGACTACTGTTGCAATGAGCAAACTTTCAAAGAAAAAAGTATCACTCATTTTGGCTAATCTTGATACAAAAGGAAGGCTTCCTTTTGAAACATAATATTTTTCCACAATTAGCGAGTGTTATCTTGCATAGATAACAATTTGTCTCTTCATGTCTTGTTTGTAACTGGCCTTTTTCCTACAATGCTGCTCATTACAACCATCAATCTGGCTGAACCTGTCAACAGAATTGCTTAACGAGTTCTGTCAGCATCCAGCCATTCAGGTTTAGGTCAGAGAGCGAGTCATGTGACTGGTATTAAACTTACATATCCTGTCAGCAACTTTGTCAATGTTCTTTGTTCAGAGATATTTCATTATACTTAATGTCATCCACCACTAACTTAAAAACATTATCAGAAATATGTTGATAAAAAGTTTCTAAACAGGCTTCTTTCTGATACACATCCTATAAATCCAGTAATTGATATGGTGTTCCCAAGTGATTATGAGTGAGTATGATCTAACACAATATTCCAGCAATATCACCGTAGGGGGACACCAGAAATGATTGTCACACATTGAATTTATGTGGGCAATCAAACACGGGTCTTCAGAGTGACGAGCAGACGCCTTAACCGTTTATCATGATTAGGAAAGGATAAGCTTCTTCCAGGACCAAACCCTAAAACTATTGTTTGTTCCATCAGAAAGTGTTCGACTCAGAACCTTTTGGGCTTAAAATAAACGCCTATCAAATTTATTGATTTCTTTATGGCCTATGTTGGTTTACAAAGGGTTGTGAAAATGCACTACATACAATTCAGCTCAGAGCTGCCATGGGTATTCTGACTGTATGATTATAAAATTATCAGCTGTTTACACTAAAGAAAGACTTAGTGTTTTATGTTATGGCGCAAAATATACAAAATCATAATTTCAAGATCTGGCAACAACTTGACGGTTCCACATTATCTGCAGACGTTGAAGGTATAAATAAAAACTTATTCAAAATCAAAGCATCAATCTGCTCATGATGAATTCAATACAGTCACAGAAAGACAACCGAACCTCTTCCCACTCGCCGTATTCGTCCTCCATTTTGAATGAGGTTTTACGAAAAGTGCCCCATCCACATGAAAACGGATTGAACATTGATCACCAAACTGGGATTAATAGGACTGAATATCGATCAAAGAAAGATGCATTTAAATGTGCGAGAAGCTCAGTGGTTTTCGATATCATTAAAGGCACATATAATTGCTATGTTATACGTTAATATCATTTTGTTGGAAGGTCCAAGCGTGAAAGACATAGAGAAGCGCACGTAAAATATCCTACACCCGACTTAAAAGAAATAAAGAGTGAATGAGTATGGTTTTATGCCGCTTTTAGCAATATTCCAGCAATATCACGGCGGGCACACCTAAAATGGGCTGCAAATATTCTACCCATGTGATGAATCGACCCCGGGCCTTCGTCGTGACGAACAAACGTATAAACCAGTTGGCAACCCCACCGCCACAGACAATACAAAGTTTTGTCAGTGAGAAGTATATTGAGAACAGTGTAACTGTCCAGATAAATGCTATCCTACTTATGCGCGAGGCATTTAGAATTTGGAGCAGTAAGGAAGGATACAAATATATAAATGAACAACTTTTTTATTACAGTGAGAGCGACGTTTCGGTGTAGGTTCTAACACTTGCGTCATATTGGCATTAACATGTACACCGAAACATCGCTCTCACCGAAATAATAAAAAAAAGTGGTTCATCTATTGTGATAGAGTTTTATTTACGTTTTTTAGGCCACAGGCCCACAGTACAAAACATTTCAATACTGTGATTACAAATGGAGTGATTCATACAATTTCAAAGTAAAATATATGCATTTAGACAAATTCACAGAAGTAAGTTGATGATTTGAAGACATAAGTCGAACAAATGTTCAAATGAGGGGTTACTGTAGTATTTGTACTCAATATACTGCTTTCTTAAGTCGGTGAAGGCACAGCAGACAAGGATAAAATGGTACTCGTTTTCGACAAGCTGAATATTATATCGAAGGCAGTATCTACATAAACGGTTCTCGATGTCTATGCCCAAACGTCTCCCCATTTCGATCATTAGCTGGTGGGAGCCACATCTGAATCTAGTTAACGCTTGCTTCAATGGCGGGGGAACTGATTTGTGAGAGATAGGATTCCGCATGCAGAACTGTTTTGTAAGATGAATAAGCTGTCAACTTGGGGTTAGATGCTATTGAAGCCTGCCATCGTTGAATGTTGTAGTCAGACACTCTTTGTTTGAACTCAGACATGAAAATATCAATATGTCCAATATCTTGCATAACCCAAGCGTACCCGAATCCAAACTGGAATAAGATATGTTTGATTTTTGTGGCCCAAGAAGATCTGTTGACGTTGTCTAATCCATATAGCATAAGATAGGTTTGCTTCGGTAATCTGTCGTTATTCATGTTGATTATTTTGGCCCAATATTTAACACATTTATTTACATAAGAAACATATAATAGAGGTCGTCCACTTTCGCCGAGCACCGCATCATTGCAGGTTGTCAAAGGCAGATGTAGAATTCGTTTAATGAACTTTGTCTGTACCCTCTCAATTTGTTCTACCACCTCATATCCCCAGAGCTCGGCGCCGTATGTAAGTATTGGAAGGACCATACTGTCGAAAATCCTCATTGCAGTGGTGATCTGTAATCCGCCACACATATAGTGAAGTCTGTATATGTGTAGACATACTTTCTCCGCCTGCTTTGCTAACACCTGTCTCGATCTTGTCCACACTAGTTTGGGTGTAAAATGAAGTCCGAGATACTTATAATACGAGACAGTTTCTATTTGGGATCCTCTGTAGTACCATTTTTCATATGAACGTAAATATCCACCTTTTCGGAATACAACGATTTTGGATTTCTGCATATTCAACGTCAATCCCCATTTTGTACAAAAATTACTGACACAATTGATTTGGTCCTGTAGTTTTCCGGCAAAGTCCGCGGTGTTAGCAACATCATCGGCGTAGAGCAGCGAACATACATTAGGTAATTCCTCTGACATAAATATTCCTTTACAGTTAGATGTTGACATCTCAGTGACTAGTTCGTTGATGTATAAAATGAACAACAGTGGACTGACCATACAACCTTGGCGTGTACCAACACAGCACTGAAAAAAATCCGTAAGCCCTTTATCTGTACGGACACACGACTGAAGCTTAGAGTACATATTTCTTAAAACTTTCAAGATGTTCCCATGTATTCCATATTTGATAAGCCGATGCCACAGTAATGTATGATTGACGCTATCGAAAGTCTTAGAGAAGTCAATAAAGAAGACGTACATTCTCCCTCCAGTTGATTTAGACAAGTATTTCGCGATCATACCGTAGAGAGAGAACATGTTGTCAACTGTACTATACCCTTTCCTAAAACCTGACTGATTCTCATGAATGATGTTGTTTTCTGTGATCCATTGTTGAAGTCGCTGATTTAATATTTTAGTGAAAATCTTTCCAATTACCGGCAGGAGCGAGATTCCTCAGTAATTATTTGGACCGGATAAAGAACCAGTCTTGTGTAGTGGACAGATAATAGCTTTGCACCATGTCATTGGGAAATTGCCAGTTGCCAATATTTCATTAAAAAGGTATGTCAGACTAACTGAAATGTAATTGACAGAATGTTTCAATAACTATGATGAAAGACCATCCCAGCCTGGCGCTTTTCGGCATTTAAGATTCCGTATAGTATCTGTGACTTCACGCAGTGTTATTTCGTCGTTGAGTTGATAAGGAAATAGTTGGTTACAATCATTACAATGTGAGTCATGATCTGATAGGTCGTTTGTTATGCCATCAATAATGGTTGAATCCGTTGTTACAGAGTTTAGCAAGTGTTCGAAATAGGTAAACCACTCGGTGCCACTGATTTTGTTGGTAGACGAAGAAGTAGCTTTAATTGATTTAATAGCTTTCCACAATTCCTCAGGGTTGTCACGAATGTTATGGAACTTCTCTTTAATATGTAACTGATGAGAGGATTTCTTAAGTCTGCATGTTGATTTAAAGACACGTTTCATTTGTTGGTATTTTCGAAAATCCATTGAAGCGTCTGTCAATCTGAACTTGTCGAGAGCCCGGTACTTGTCCCGCTTCGCTGACTCACACTGCTTGTCCCACCAGGCAGGCTGACGCTCGGTCGAGTCACGTGACCCGTGTCGTCTGCTCATCCCATCTGCAGCCCGCGCATAGAGACTCGAGATCATATCGACAGCACTATCAATATCAACACACAACAAATTGTTAATATCCTCTATCATTGACTTAGAAACATCATCAGCAATAAGTTTTCAAGATTCTCCCGAAAGATATCATTCCACACAAACTTTGTATAAGGTTGAATTGGTATCTCATTTGTTGAGTCACTGCATTTAGTGTTTATGTTTAATTCACACGTGATAGGAAAGTGATCAGATTCGTCCAGTGTTAGAACCTCAAAGTCAATTATCCGATCGAACAGCTGTGAAGTCGCCAACATGTAGTCAACTGTGCTACGTCCATTATTTGCTGTACATGTAATATTACCTTCTCTATCTCCTAGGAATCTGCCATTGAGCACATGAACACAGTGTAAGCTACAAATCTCAAGCAATCTTCTTCCAAAATTGTTGACTTCTTTATCTTTGTTTCTACGAGGTATACAGAATACATCACTGTCATATCATTCACTCACAGGTAAGAAGTCAGCACTGTCATCACTAATGAAATCTTCCTCCATCCCTGTTCTGCAATTAAAATCTCCCATCAGTAATATGTCTGCATCATATTTGTTGTTCAACTCACATAGTGAGTTATATAAAGATGACATGGTTTCCAGACCATGCATTAAATATAAGCATAACAACCCAAATTCCCTTTAACAATATGGCTGACAGTTTGTGTCAGTCTGTTAATCCAGGTGACAGATAATAGTTTGAAATATGTTAATCTATGGAATGGTGTCGTAGTTTCACATAGATAAGTGTGTATATATAAGCTGTCAGCATTGGTTACATGTCGTGTTATAGCTACTCTAACTATACCATGTTTGCTATTCATGAACACGATACACTTCACACAATGCTCGCCTTTCATCTACATCGCCCAACCTTGAGACGTGTTCACACAGAGCAGAACCAAATGAGGTAAGGAACATAGAGATTATTACACGAGCAAGTTTGTCATTCGACTGACACGAAACGAGTTTGAAATTTTGTATCGCTCTCGCTCGGGCAATACATAATTTCACACTTGTTTTGTATAAGTCATATTACACACTTGCTCGTGTAATAATCTCGATTTACGTCCAGGATAGTGAGTGAGTTTATTTTACGCCTCTTGAAGCAATATTCCAGCAATATCACGGCGGGGGACACCAGAAAATGGCCTCGCTCATTGTACCCATGTGGGGAATTGAACCCGGGTCTTCAGTGAGACGAGCGAACGTTTTAACCTCTAAGCTACCCCACGTCTAGGACTGTACGGATACAGTACCCATTGAGAACACCTGGTGTCAATGCTGATTTTCAGTGATCCTTTCCTCTCGTTTTCGCAAAGTGGAATCGGTTTATGATGATTGCCAATTTTGAGACTGGTTATTCCTTTGCACTGACATTTTATGTTCAAACAACGAAAAATATCCTTTTCATCTTAAACGCTGCCAGGTAAATGTAACAGCAAGTAATACATGTCTAAGACCGCCTCCGTGGTGTAGTGGTTAGAGCGTCCGCCCGGAGAGCGGAAGGTCGCGGGTTCGATCCCCGACTGCGTCATACCAAAAGACGTTAAAATATGGTACTTGTTGGTCCCTGCCTGGCGCTCGGCATTAAAGGGTACAAAAAGGACTGGTCGGCTCGGAGTCAGTATAATGTGTCTGAGTGGGGTATTCATGCTTCACTGCGGCATGGTATCTCAGTTGGCAAGCACTATAAAACCAGCTTAAGTCTGGGCTAGTACAAGCAGCCGCACATACACAACACACGCATGCACGTCGTCATATGAGCGAAATATTCTCAAGCACGACGTTAAACCCAATTTCACCTCACCTAATACATGTCTAAACAGACAAGTAATTAAAATTGTCAGATGTATATCTGCATATGATCAGTGTGCACTACAACCCAAGCGGGGCAGTGGGGTAGCCTAGTGGTTAAAGCGTCCGCTCGTCACGCCGAAGACCTGGGTTCGATTATCTACATGGGTACATTGTGTGAAGCCCATTTCTGGTGTCCCCCGTCGTGATATTGCTGGAATATTGTTTAAAAAGCGTAAAACCATACTCACTGACTCACTCCAACCCAAGCTGCCTGTGAAGCCTTAGAAGGTTAACAGTCACATGACATCCCATTCCACCGGGTACCCATTCACTGCTGGGTGAATGGAGGCAATTTTGAACAAACTCACTTGTCTAAGGTCAGACCGCATGTGTTACAATTGCTTCAATGTGGGGAGGACTCAAGCTACCGCTATCAATAAACCTTTTCGCGAACAGCAACTGTCATGACCGACATTCACTGATCCATTCAAATATTTTTCTCCTCTATTTTGTATTGTACGCCCAATGGATTCTGTTTGGGGCTCTTCCCAGTCATTGGCGTTTTATATACGCAAGTGCATATACCAAATATGACATTAATGACATGAAATATGATATGATAGCAATTCCGGTTTTGATAACCCTGTCAGGAAATGTGAATACAGGGCGTGGTTCGTGGTTGATCGGCGCTGAGTGAATAGACGAGACGGAGCATTTCACAGCCTGTTTATATATGCTTCTATTTATTCATAGTCACAGTACCGGGGCCGGGTAGGATATTTTATGTACCGCACAACAGGCTGTTGTTTGATATAATTTCAATACATGGATCACTGAGCTTGAGAAGGGCAACTGTGTGTTAAGACGTTTATATAGCTTTGTGTTTGATAACAGGCATAAAGGTTGACATATAATGTTTTGGGTGGGTGCTGCATGTAAACAGCTCAAACACACCAGTGCACTGCGTCTACACACCCGTATGCTACACGTCTTGTGTCTTTCTTCGGAATTAACCAACAAGGTACAGTGTCAAATATCGGATTCAAGTTCAACTGGACGATGTGACAATTAGGAGCTTGTACCCAAGAAACTGTGTGTACTAAGTCACCCGCCGTCGTCTTGTGAAAATATGCCGATGAGCAGACGAGAACGAAGAAACTGGATATTTGGGATTTTTTTGTTTACGGTCGTGGTTCTGAATGTCACGGGGCCAGTTTTTTTATACTTACATTCCAGAGGACGGCACAGTATAGACTATGACTCTATCCAGGGTACTATACTGTCTAAAGCTGAACTCGGCCTCGTTCTCGTTTCCTGACATCGAGAACAGGGCACAAGGCGCGATGTCGGAAGTGAAGGGTAATCCCAAGAAGACGAATGAATATGATCCTAGAAAGCAACTGAAGGGAGCTCTTGAGAAGAAAGTGAGTCCTAAACCAGTGGGTGGGAAGAGAGCAGTCGTTAAATCAGAAGTCAAGGGACCTAGAAGTACTGCCAGGGAACTTAGCCAAGGCACACTAAATGAGAGAGGTCGGGTGCTTGATATGAACCGTAAACCCGCAGTTGGGAAGAGAGCAGACGTCAAATCAGAAGTCAAGGGACTTGGAAAAACTGCCAGGGAACATAATACAGGCACACTAAATGAGAGAGGTCTGGCGCTGAATTTGAACCGTCAAACCCGCAGTTGGGTATAAAGCAGACGTAAAATCAGAAGTCAAGGGACCTGGAAATACAGCCAGGGAACGTAATAAAGGTACACTAAATGAGAGAGGTCGGGCGCTGGATATGAACCATAAACCAGAAGTTGGGAAGAAAGCAGACGTAAAATCTTTCCGACAGAAACTTCGGGCACCGCAGGTGGAAGCAATTGAAGAAGCACTGGAAGGACTCCCCGAGGACGACGCTCCTAGAATAGCTGCCCCGAAGAACAGGGTAGCAGGGAACATCTTTGAAAGTGATGTGAAAAATGAGCATGTTCAAGAGGAAAAGCGGGAACATATAAAAGTTAACCCCCGGAACGACAAACACAGTGATACTTACGTTTTGCCAGGAACATTTGATTACGACAGCGATTGGTTCCAAACCGAGGTTAACTTGGACGACGACGACAACAACAACGACGTGTATGCATTCTCAGCCCATTACGACGCCAGCGACACAGTTGTGAGGGTCGTCGCTCTAACACCAACGTTCCAGACTGTGCCGGTGTTTTGTAGACTCGAGAACAATGGACAGGTTCTGTTGTCTGTGGAGGAAGGAAAGGAGGTCAAAATGAAGGATCATCATGACAGAAGGTATTTCTACTCACTCACTCACTTACTCAATCACTCAATCACAATGTATCACGACGGTCCGTAAACAACAGGAGCGTGTCAAATGTCGTAACAAAAACTACTATCAGTTAATAATGGCAACTGGGTAGCCGAGTGGTTAAAGCGCTCGCTCGTCACGCCGACGACCGGGTTCGATTACCCATATAGAGATCCTCCCCCGTCGTGATGTTGCTGAAATATTGCTAAAGACGGCGTAAGACAAAACTTTCCCATTCACACACAACCAACTGATGTATTTCGGCGCGTCATCAATATGGTTCTCTGTGAGTGCCAAAGTCCTATAGATACGCTATATTGTTTGTTTCCTGTTAAATACTACACTCAGCATTATTCAACCTGTATGATGGCAGTCTGTAAATGGCGGAGTGATTGACACCATGAGTAACGATCTACCCTTCTGGGATACGATGACGTGTCAGCAAAGTCCCGGAGTCTGACCACACGATGCCGTAAGTGGTCTCTTACAAGCACGGGTTGCTGAAAACCCCGTTAAGTGTAGTCCGGACGCCGTAGTAGAGTGTGCTGGATGCAATGATATGCAATTGAACCTTGCTAATCCGGACACTTTCCTTTTCTCAATTATTGTTAGGATAGGGCATTTTTTAAATATCATGTGGTATGCGCGGCTTCCAAATGTCTGTGGCCCGGATAAGAGGGTTTCCACAGTAAAAACCGACGTACACGCACGCACGCACACACACACACACTCGCGTACACGCAAGCACGCGCGCGCGCGCACACACACATTTAGTTTTACGCTGCACTTACCAATATTCCAGCTATATGGCGGCGGTCTGTAAATAATCGAGTCTGGACCAGACAATCATGTGATCAACAGCATGAGCATCGATCTGCGCAATTGGGAACCGATGACATGTGTCAACCAAGTCAACGAGCCTGACCACCCGATCCCGTTAGTCGCCTCTTACGACAAGCATGGGTTACTGAAGATTCATTTTACCCCGGACCTTCACTGGTATAGAGAGATAGATAAAGCGTAACATCGTATTCCAGTTATATCAAGACTTTCAGCTTGATGTGGGAGGAAAACCCGAATTAATACATGTCTTAAACAATTACCACTCTGGTTAAACCCATGAGCAGAGGTATAGCTGACAAACCTAGAAACCTAATCGAGTCGAATCGAGATTTGACACACGTTTCTGGCGTGCCCAAGGTACGCAACTCTGTGCGCCTTAGACGACAGAACCACCCGTCATTAGCAGGGATTGGGAAAGGCAGGGGCCATGGACCATTTTGCACATTAGAATAAACAATGGCCCATTAAAATTTTGAAGTTTACTATTGATACAAGGGTTTTGGCCCATTCTAAATTCAGAAAATGGCCCGTTGTCAAAGTACTCTATCCCAATCCCTGCATTATTATTAGTATGGGTGAGTTTAGTTTTACTCCGCTTTTAGCAATATTCCAGCAATATCACGGCGGGGATATCATAAATAGGCTTCACACATTGTATCCACGTGGGGAATCGAACCCGGGTTTTCGGCGTGACGAGCGAACGCTTTAACCACTAGGCTACCCCACCGCCCAGTATTAGTATGTAAACTATTTATACTTATGTGACGTATCACAAGTTTCATTTACGTTTCAGTTATACAGCTGCCGTCATTCTGTGCAAAGTCCACAAAGGAGCTCAGCCAGCGAGATTGGCAGTCCTACAAGATAAAAGCCAAACCCCAACAAAATACATGAAAGTCAATTACCCAAAGAAAGAGCACCACGCCTTCAGTGTTTGTGTGACTCCTTTCAGCCCTGTTTATTGGGATGCGCACGAGCTTGTTCAAAACACCGAGCTTGGGATTATACTGGGGGCAGAACATTTTACATTTTACGTCCAGTCGGCATCAGGACCCGTCCCGAACTACCTGGAAAAATATCAGGGGAGGGGTGTGGCAGAGGTGTTACCTTGGTCCCCTCTTATTGATGAGGTTCACGCATATGGCCAAATCGCCGCAATACAGGACTGTCTTTTCCGGAACAAAGCCACCTCCGATTATATACTTTTTCAAGACATCAATGAAATATTTATGCCTCTTAAACATAAATCCTGGAAAGACCTTATCGAAGCTAAATTAAAACACAAACCAAAAGTAGCTGCCATTGTCTTTCTAAAGAGTTTCTTTCCTTTGGTTGATGCCAAAGATTTAGCAGGAATAGAGGAATATTATATTCCTTTAGTTAAAAAGTACAAACTATATGTTTTGTCCAATCCTTGGCGAGAATCCAAAGTGTGGGACGTGAGGATGCGATCTAAATTTATTGTTATTCCAAACAGAGTTGTTTCCCTTGGAATAGTCAACAACGTCAATAAGTTCAAGGACGGTTATACTTCGATGACCATGGATACACAGGAGGGTTTGTTATATCAGTATCAAGGCCAGAAAGACGAAAGCAAACCCCTTGTTATGGACACCTCTGCTAGACGTTTCGCGTCGGATTTAATCGAAAGAGTTGCTGAAGCGTGGAACGATGAAAAGTGAAATAACAATACTCTCCAACAATAGAGAGAACAAATAATACAGTGTAACGTATTTAGTCCACGATTTGTTAATGCGGACATTTCTTAATACGGACAACTTCATTCAGAACGCTGTCGTTCGGATTAATGGAGTTCAATTTTTCAAAATACATTGTTGTTCTCAACTTGTGTTCGTGGTGGTGTAAAGCATACAAGCATCTTATGATGAGGTGCGAGCAAATGCTTAATCTTTGTGTATTGAAATATTCTAGATACTGGCATAGTGCTATGAATACACAGTGGCATATACTCGTAGAAAGTGATCAAATGTAACAAATGTTGTATTTGGGATTACACCTTCACGGTAAAGTACAGATTCTAGTACATTTGTCGGGTTAAGTCCCATCCGAGATTCGAACCTACACCGTCAGAGTGAGGCACTTAATCGCCAGCACATAAAGTCAGTCGTCTAACCCGTTCAGCTACCAAAAATGAAAGTCGGACAACTGGTAGTCTAGACCTCGGACTTTATGTACCTGTCTGATAAGTGTTAATTGGCACGGCTCCCATGACTGAAAGCTAAGAATACATAGTGCCATTTAGAAAGTGGTCAAATGTAACACATGTTATATTTGGGATTACACATTCTCAGTAAAGTACAGATTCTAGTACCCACATTCGAACCCACACCGTCAGAGTGAAGCACCTAATCACCAGCACACAAAGTCAGAAATCTAACCCGTTCTGCCACCGCGGCTTTCACAAAAAATGGAAGTCGGAAGGGACTCAACCCAACAAAAGTACTAGAATGTGTTCTTTACTGAGAAAGTGTAACCCAGATTTACAACATGTGTTACATGGTAATGCTAGTCATTATCAGTGCTCAAGAAGTAGCTTTCACGGAAACCTCTTGCACAAAAAGGTGTACCCTCATTTCATCCAAACAATAGGTAAAGACGGACAATGTATTGTTAGAAAATACGTCTTTTGCAAATACTACCTGTCATGACATCAGTGTTTATATCATGTTACCATAGCGACGCGACAGCGTCAGTTTCCATGGAGATGAAGCCTCATTAGTCCGTTTGATAAAGCACAGATAATCAATACCCGTAGGGAATACGAACAAGGGACGTGCGACGTAACTGATTATATTTCTTTGTCTTTCAATTCCAGCTAAATGTGCAATATTGACGCCGGAGACCGCTGTTTCTCATTATGGTGTGTAATAACTTATTATGGTGGTTCTTAACGTTATTGGTCCGTGAAGATCGGGGTTAGAATTGATCTTCAGTAACCCTTGCTTGTGGCCAGGCGTCCTGAATCGGTTGACACATGTCGTCGTATCCCAATTGCGTAGATCGATCCTCATGCTGTTGATCACTGGATTTTCTGGTCCAGACTCGATTATTTACAGACCGCGCCGTAACTGGAATATTGCGGAGTGCGGCGTAAAACTAAACTTGTTATTACGTCATATTTTGTCATATTTTACTATCTCTGCTGTTAACTATTGTGGATCAGTAGGATTGGGTGTGTAGGGATTGTCTGGCCAGAGTATGTCCACAGTTCATCCTGCTTGTTGTTAACTATTGTGGATCAGTAGGATTGGGTGTGTAGGGATTGTCTGGTCAGAGAATGTCCACAGTTCATCCTGCTTGTTGTTAACTATTGTGGATCAGTAGGATTGGGTGTGTAGGGATTGTCTGGTCAGAGTATGTCCACAGTTCACCCTGCGTGATCTGTGGATCAGTAGGATTGGGTGTGTAGGGATTATCTGGCCAGAGTATGTCCACAGTTCATCCTGCTTGTTGTTAACTATTGTGGATCAGTAGGATTGGGTGTGTAGGGATTGTCTGGTGAGAGAATGTCCACAGTTCATCCTGCTTGTTGTTAACTATTGTGGATCAGTAGGATTGGGTGTGTAGGGATTGTCTGGTCAGAGTATGTCCACAGTTCACCCTGCGTGATCTGTGGATCAGTAGGATTGGGTGTGTAGGGATTATCTGGCCAGAGTATGTCCACAGTTCATCCTGCTTGTTGTTAACTATTGTGGATCAGTAGGATTGGGTGTGTAGGGATTGTCTGGTGAGAGAATGTCCACAGTTCATCCTGCTTGTTGTTAACTATTGTGGATCAGTAGGATTGGGTGTGTAGGGATTGTCTGGTCAGAGTATGTCCACAGTTCACCCTGCGTGATCTGTGGATCAGTAGGATTGGGTGTGTAGGGATTGTCTGGCCAGAGTATGTCCACAGTGAATCATGCTTGTTGTTAACTGGATTAGGATTGGGTGTGTAGGATTGTCTGGTCAGAGTATGTCCACAGTTCACCCTGCGGGTGTGATCAGTAGGATTGTGTGTAGGGATTATCTGGCCAGAGTATGTCCACAGTTCATCCTGCGTTGTTAACTATTGTGGATCAGTAGGATTGGGTGTGTAGGGATTGTCTGGTGAGAGAATGTCCACAGTTCATCCTGCTTGTTGTTAACTATTATGGATCAGTAGGATTGGGTGTGTAGGGATTGTTTGGGCAGAGTATGTCCACAGTTCATCCTGCGTGATCTGTGGATCAGTAGGATTGGGTGTGTAGGGATTGTCTGGGCAGAGTATGTCCACAGTTCATCCTGCGTGATCTGTGGATCAGTAGGATTGGGTGTGTAGGGATTGTCTGGTGAGAGTATGTCCACAGTTCATCCTGCGTGATCTGTGGATCAGTAGGATTGGGTGTGTAGGGATTGTCTTGTCAGAGTATGTCCAAAGTGAATCATGCCTCTTTGTTAACTATAGTGGATCTTTTGGATTGGGTGTGTACGGATTGTCTGGTCAGAGTATGTTCACAGTTCATCATGCTTGTTGTTAACTATTATGGATCAGTAGGATTGGGTGTGTAGGGATTGTCTGGGCAGAGTATGTCCACAGTTCATCCTGCGTGATCTGTGGATCAGTAGGATTGGGTGTGTAGGGATTGTCTGGTGAGAGTATGTCCACAGTGAATCATGCTTATTAACTATAGTGGATCTGTTGGATTGGGTGTGTAGGGATTGTCTGGGCAGAGTATGTCCACAGTTCATCCTGCGTGATCTGTGGATCAGTAGGATTGGGTGTGTAGGGATTGTCTGGCCAGAGTATGTCCAAAGTGAATCATGCCTCTTTGTTAACTATAGTGGATCTTTTGGATTGGGTGTGTAGGGATTGTCTGGTCAGAGTATGTTCACAGTTAATCCTGCGTAATCTGTGGATCAGTAGGATTGGGTGTGTAGGGATTGTCTGGTCAGAGTATGTCCACAGTTCATCCTGCGTGATCTGTGGATCAGTTGGATTGGATGTCTAGGGATTGTATGTCATCGTGCCCCGATTGAGTGGGTCACTGCTCAAGGTATCAAGCATTGGTTTGCCTGACCCAGATTCGGAAACTTATAGGCTGTCATGATATAGCTGCAATATTAATGACTGAGGTGCGACAAAACATCCCCTCACATTTAGTTATGTTGATCAGATATCTCAAAATTCAACAAGAGAATGACGATAGTTGAAGAGACACGCCACCTTTACCATTATTTAGTCAACAACACTCAGCCTTCTACTTGATGAACCCGTGAAGATCCGGGTTAGAATTGATCTTCAGTAACCCATGCTTGTCGTAAGAGGCGACTAACGGGATCGGGTGGTCAGGCTGTCTGACTTGGTTGACACATGTCATCGGTTCCCAATTGCTTTGATCACTGGCTTGTTTGCTCCAGACTTGATTATTTACAGACCGCCGCCATATAGCTGGAATAATGCTGAGGGCGACGTAAAACTGAACTCACTCTACTTGATGAACCTTTAGACTGCTTCGCTGTCTTACATGTTAGCGTGTTTCTATCTTAAGAATGCTACTCGTGAAACAATTATTTGTTTGGGTCCTGTAGAATTTATTCAGCAGTTCATAGTGCATTAAGCCAATGTTGAAGTTACATTTTATCATGTGACACGACCTCTCACGTCTAGACAATAGTCTGCCATGCATTGAGTGAGTGAGTTTAGTTTTACGCCGCCGCTTTTAGCAATATCACAGCGGGGGACACCAGAAATGGTCTTCACACATTGAACCCATGTGGGGAATCGAACCCAAGTATTCGGCATGACGAGTAGCACCTTTAACCACTAGGCTACCCCACCGCCCCTGTCATACAGACACTAAAACAAACGTATTCAGTACATCACAAGTAAGTATATAATGTTTGTCAAGGCTTCATAACAGGAAAATTAAGAACGTGTCTTGGCTCCTTTGTATAATATTGACCTATTATAATTTAACATCCTCTTTTCTCTATAAAATATTTCGATGACTAGGCATCAGTCTAGTCTCTACAAGAAATGGTCGGTACGATCTCCTTGTGTCTGTATGACGGAATTTATTATTCAGGAGCTGCTTTGAAATTCAAACTACTTGCGTGATGGAGTCGGAGAACTGGTTTAAATAATTCCTCAGCAATATCGTTTGACCTTCACACAGTGACATATCCAGGATGTCTCACTGCGAATGACCGCGAAGACCCAATCAGCTGTTACGGGACCTCGTTCGCTCAAGCTAGGTTATCTCTAACGACCGTTTGTCGTTCTTATGGTGTAGGATTAACGACAATCGCACCTCCAAGATTTTTGTCTGAATAAAGGTCCTGTAAATGACGCACAAGGAATACGTATCGTCGCGCTACGTGTCACGTAAATGAAATTATGCTACATTCAACGTCGGACAATAAAGGAGAATCAACAATAGCATGTATGCAAAGGACACCGAACAAAGAGTATATATATAATTGGTATTTACGCCTTAAGGGCTATCAGTTAGATCTGATGAATAGTGTTCACATTTTAATGCTGTTATTAAAACACAGGTCAGCGCACTGACCCATGAATAATGCTTATGCCCAAGGTTCTAGAATTTCAGAACACATTGTGGAGACGAGACAAGGTGACTTCATTGAGCATAACACGCAGATATCATTGATCGAGGTTACCTAATACAGTTGATGTTGGTTGGTGTTAGGGTGAGCTACACAAAGATATACTGATGGTCGTGACTTCAGACTGTACACCAAGAATTTCTATAAAGCAAAATATGGTGTCGTAAATATCGGCCATCATGTACAACATTACCATTTGACCAATTGTGAACTGACATATGAGTATTTTGAACAGTTTTAGCGCCCTGTCGTCATTTGCAATGATAATAGACCGAAGTTGTGAACTGCAAAATGACAATGTTAGACCAATCGTCCTCATGTTGCTGCCGACAATCTCCGGCATAGAGACATGGACAGGCCTGCTAAGCCCCCTAACACGTCCGTTACAGATCATCTGCTGCACTTACATTAGACTTTAGTGTACACCAGAGACACATCGCCCAAGTTGGGTAGCTCTTCAAGCGTTCGTTTCTTGTTTAACACCGAAATGTTCTAGCTATATCGCACCGGTTTTTAAATAATCGAATCTGGACCAGACAATCTTGCGATATGATCATCGATCCACGCAACTTGGATGCGATGACATGTGTCAGCCAAGTCGGCGAGTCTGACCACCCGATCCCGTTAGTCGCCTCTTACGACAAGCATGGGTTGCTGAAGATCGATATTCCAACTATATGGCGGTGGTCTGTAAATGATTGAGTCTGGACCAGACAATCCAGTGATCAACAGAATGAGCATCGATCTACGCAATTGGGATACGATGACATGTGTCAACCAAGCCATCGAGCTTGAACGCCCGATCCCGTTAGTCGCTTCTTGCGACATCTTCAAGGGAAACGTTTGGCAATACCATTGGTAACCCAACGTAGGGTCGTCAATGTTATGACCTGAAGGTGTTATGCATGTATTGATGGACAACCAGATATATCTACAGTCTTATCGTCTTAACACCTTCGCTATCATTTCATCAGTTCCTTTATGTTCTGTAGTTCGTATATCTTAATTACCTCAGCTTTAGTAGCATTCCATACTCAAATAGGCCACTTATGTTTTGTGTTGAGTAATAAAGCAGAAATAATGTTCAGTTTCTCTACCTGTCGACTGTGCGTGTGTACACTGTGAGTGACGCTTCAGACGTCACATGATACAATCTCTGGAAAGAAATTCTAAAACGGACGTATGTGTTGGAACTGTTTTGTGAGACTGTTTTACACTTTGACCTTTCAGTTTAACTTTCCATTGCCGAAACCTTAACGGGCGCTTTGCAAGTCATGGATGAATGTGGGTCAACTAATCCTTAGAAGCACGTTCTTAGAAGGTACTTGAGTAATTATTAACACCAAGTTCAAGAACGGATTTTCAGAAATCAGATTGAAAGAAAATCAGTAGGCTGAAATAAAGGCCTTTATAGGAATATATACATACACGCACGCACGCATGCACGCACGCACACATTTATACAAATACCACATATAACATTTATATCGATGACAAATTTTACATTAAATATTTTTTAATAATATCGAAAAATGAAATTAAAACAATGGGATCTACAATGCTTGCATTTATACGTGTGGGAACTGATGTATAAATGACCTTCCCACATTCGGTTGAATGTCACCCCTAATCCAAACAGAAACAGGTAGTACCACGCCATGATTGATTTTTCTCCTGATAACAATTAACCTGCCCGAGACGTCGCGTGCCGTTGCCACTTCGGCGGATATATTTCGCAACAACCTCTCCGGGAGAACCATCAGACCAAAACAAATGTGAGCAGATCGTCGACTGAATTAAATCGTTAAGATATCGATGAAATGTGCAAGCTGAACTGTGCATTGCGATTGAGTTCTATTTGTTTTACAAACAGATCATTTATAACGTATCCGCAGGCAACCTTTCTTGAATATTTCAGTGTTGTTTTGGGAGGGAATAACGCTACATGTTTGTGTGTATTCTCACCTATTACTTACGGAATATACAGAGAGAGTTAGGTACTAAACCAAGGATATCGAATCCCGGGTCGCCCCCATAGTGTTTGTCGACTGTGTGCTCGTGGCATTCATTCAAGTCCTACATCATATTGGGCTTTTCTCCAACTTTAATCTGACACGCTCTGATAGACCCGTGCAAAAAAGTATTCGGACACTTGACGTAATTTCCATAGACTTACATGTTAATTCAGTGTAGCATAAATAATTTTCATGAAGTGAGTTTTGGATGGATCTATGTAAAATTTGACAGGCAAATTTGAAATCATCTCTGCTCTGCGCACTTAATTTCATTTCAGTTCAATTTTCCGAGCACTATTAAACTAATGACATCACAATTATCAACTAACGTATGGTTCCACAATGCACAATCCCATAGGCCGCCATGTTAGAGGAGTCCACAGCACTGTACATATGTTGATTAAATTGTTGCCATTCGATAAATAAGCAACAGAAAATTAAACAGAAATGATGTGATTATAGGTAAGATGATTCCTCACAAATGTGCACAATTTGACTTGGATCTTAAGAAAATTAAATTCATGAAAATTATTTATGCTACACTAAATTAACATGTAAGTCTATGGAAATTACGTCAAGTGTCCGATTATGTTTTGCACGACTCAATACTGTTGAAGCGGCGTTAAACCTAACTCACTCACTCACTACAACTGATACACAAATAATTTGCGATGACAGTTGCTGTACTTTAGACGTCGACAAAAATATACATTAACAGTTAAAGTAAACGAGATATATAAGTCAGATCAATAGGTTAGATCAAGAGGTATGAAAATGCCCCCGGTAAACACTTTACCTAACGTTGAAATGAATTATTATATATACAAGGCAGATAATAATTTATTTCAACATTAGGTTAATGTGTTTTTCTTAAATTGTCCATAGTTGCCTTGTCGTGAAGAACGCGGGCGCTTTTTCATACCTCTTCGACCGATTAACCTATTGATCTGACTTATCAACTCCCGCACACGGTGATCGCTCGGTGGCCTACCACATTTTCTTAGTAATCTCAGCCAGCCCTGGAAGAAGTTTATGTTGGACATGAAGTCACTAGTTTCACTAGTTCGTGTGACTATCACATGACACAACTGCAACAAAATCGTGACACTTTCATGATATCAGTTTGTATATCCAGTTAATATCAAGAATATTTTGTAAAAATCGGCATATATTGTAAACGTACTAAATAGTGATGGAAAAGGTCAGAACATTGCAATATCACACCTGGGTCGCTACCCGAAATATTATTAAACTATTGGAATGTATTGAATGTACCCTAACGATTATTGATATTAAAGTAGGGGTAGTGTTCACTGATTAAAAAAGAATCAGGAACGATATAATTCATACCGATATCCAATATAGGAATGATTTATGTAATAGCATAAGCTGGCTAAGTGGGTTAGATCGCTCGACTTTGTGTGCTGGCGATTAAGTGTGAGTTCGATTCCTGGATTGGACTGAATCTAACTAAAGAGCTAGAATATGTACTTTACTGAGAAATTGAAATCCTAAATAGAACATATGATATATCATAAGCAAATTATTGTTTCGTTCTCTCCCACGATGACGTCACACTGGATTTGGTGTTTCACAATAGGTCCCGTGTAGCCCGTGTTTGTCGTAAGGGCACACCAATAATTGGTTTGGGTTGTCAGACTCCGTGTGCCATATTTAGTCATTAGTGTGCCCGGTCCAGATTCGAAAAGTTACTGCTAACCTTGATGACAGACAGACAGACAGACAGATTTTTCTATTTACGTCTCACCATATGTACATTAAAAGAATAATACATATAAAATATACAGTAAAATTGTAATGCACAAATGCCACCCCAATGGAGTTATATATAATATATCACAGAGCAATATAAAAGAATTCAAGTTGATAAAAGAAAGTTGAACATAAAATAATACACGTACATACATATAGCATGAAAAGCATATACAACATTAAATATGAGATTATTTATATAAAAATTGCTGGCGTCGTAAAAGGATTCTAAAGCAGTTTTTGGCACATACCTTTATAAGATGTTCGGTGCTTAAAAGGAGTGATAACTTCTCAGGTTCCGATAAGAGGGTAAAACGTGGTATGAAATAATTTGCTGGTATTAAAAGGCCTTCCCTTAAATCTTCATAAAGTGGCTATTCCAATAAAACGTGCGGTTCAGATTCAACTTTATCTGGGCAGTGGAAACATGGTCTTTCTGCGAGTTCGATTCCTTCGTAACGGCCTGTTTCTATTCTGATGTATTTGGAAAAGTGTTGAATGCGGCGTCACGCATCATTCACCCACTGAGTTTGTGAATGCGATGTCAATGCGATGTGAATCGACCGCCCCAGTCACTGAATCATGATGGGACATATTTTCATTTAATATATAATGTTGAAGTGCATATTATACAGATCAGTTTTATCAATTATGGAATCATTTTCCGACCCATACTTCTCACAGCCTTACATAAGGACTATAATATCATGACTGTTCCTTATCCAACATATACCCCTACAAAACCGTACCCTTGGCAACATGCACGAAAGAACATCTGCAAAAATACATCAGAATGTTGAAACAAAGCAATTACTTATACTAAAGACAGAAAAAACCCATCAATATCTCCTTTTACATTCATGAATAAATGATCACAACGAAGTTCAGCGGGTGAATACATATCTCTCTACCTGGCCTGGTTCATTATCGACCTCCATGTTGTTGTGACGTCACGGCCAGGTGAAACACGCCGGGTCGAGGCAGTTCCCCGTTACAACTCGCATGTTCCTCAATGTACATTGCAAGCAGATAATAAGGATTTACTTACAGGACTTACAGGAGCTCAATATCACAGGTAGGGTTGTAAACTATGTCACATTCGCTGCAAATAGGAACTACGTCCACGAAGACATCAACAGCACCGGCTTTGTCGGGAGCTGATGTTGTTTTTCGTTAAATCAACGTTGATGACATATTTTTGTCTTTTAGGCTTAAAATAATCGGTTTGAAATATAAACCGCATTTAAATTTCCAATTTACAGATTACGAAGACTTATTTGTACTATTTATGGGGAAATTGTCAAATTACGAGATTAAAAAAACCTTTATAGCTTTAAATTTTCAAAATACAGTTCAATTGTATGCTAAAAATGTTATTGAAATCTATAGACATGATAAATGCTGGTATACAATAAAGATGATAAAGTTTATAATTATAAATATACAAAATATTCAGAATTATTTTCTTTTCTGGTAGGTGGCTCGTATCTATATTTTAAATTGAATTAAATGAAGTTGAATTAAAATACAAGGAATTTTAGGGGAATGTAAGACAGTACGCCGTAAAATTCAAACTATTTCCAGCATTTAATAATTCAGGTACATATTGCCAAAGAAATATCAAACGTGCTTTGACTGTAGAAATATCATTAATATTCAAGCAACGGATACTCTCATGAAAATGTGGAATTACTGTGACATTTGTAGTCGTTCCTGGATTGTTGCGACCCTGTAACTATGGCAACCTTACCATCCGAAAAATTACAGCTAAATATACTTCTACATAAACAAGATGGACGTCCGTCAAATGATGTCACCTTATGTGATCATATCACTATCCCTTACCATAAGAGTTTCTGCTGATGTAATCATTCTGTGTCTCCTGCTATAATCATTCTGTGTCTCCTGCTATAATCATTCTGTGTCTCCTGCTCTGCTATAATCATTTCCGTATCCCCTGCTATAATCATTCTGTGGCTCCTGCTCTGCTATAATCATTTCTGTGTCTCCTGCTCTGTTTAATTATTTCTGTGTCTCCAGCCATATTCATGTCTGTGTCCCCTGCTATAATCATTTCTGTGTCTGCTGCTCTGCTATAATCATTTCTGTGTCCCCTGCTATAATCATTCTGTGTCTCCTGTTATAATCATGTCTGTGCCTCCAGCCATAATCATGTCTGTGTCCCCTGCTATAATCATTCTGTGGCTCCTGCTCTGCTATAATCATTTATCATCTCCTGCTATAATCATTTCTGTGTCCCCTGCTATAATCATTCTGTGTCTCCTGCTATAATCATGTCTGTGCCTCCAGCCATAATCATGTCTGTGTCCCCTGCTATAATCATTCTGTGGCTCCTGCTCTGCTATAATCATTTCCGTATCTCCTGCTATAATCATTTCTGTGCCTCCAGCCATAATCATGTCTGTGTCCCCTGCTATAATCATTCTGTGGCTCCTGCTCTGCTATAATCATTTCCGTATCTCCTGCTATAATCATGTCTGTGCCTCCAGCCATAATCATGTCTGTGTCCCCTGCTATAATCATTCTGTGGCTCCTGCTCTGCTATAATCATTTCCGTATCCCCTGCTATAATCATTTCTGTGTCTCCAGCCATAATCATGTCTGTGTCCCCTGCTATAATCATTTCTGTGTCTGCTGCTCTGCTATAATCATGTGTGCGTCTCCTGCTATAATCATTTCTGTGTCCCCTGCTATAATCATTTCTGCCTCTCATGCTATAATCATGTGTGTGTCTCCTGCTCTGCTGTAATCTTTTATGTGGCTCCTGTTCTGCTATAATCACTTTGTGTCTCCTGCTATAATCATTTCTGTGTCTCCTGCTCTGCTATAATCATTTCTGTGGATCCTGCTCTGCTATAATCATTTTGTGTCTCCTGCTATAATCATTTCTGTGTCCCCTGCTATAATCATTTCTGCGTCTCCTGCTATAATCATGTCTGTGTCTTCTGCTATAACCATTTCCGTATCTCCTGCTATAACCATTTCCGTATCTCCTGCTATAACCTTTTCCGTATCTCCTGCTATAATCATTTCTGTGTCTGCTGCTCTGCTATAATCATTTCTGTGGCTCCTGCTCTGCTGTAATGATATTTGTGTCTCCTGCTCTGCTATAATCATGTCTGTGTCTCCTGCTCTGCTTTAATCATGTGTGTGTCTCCTGCTCTGCTATAATCATGTATTCGTCCCCTGCTATAATCATTTCTGTGTCCCCTGCTGTAATCATTTCCGTATCTCCTGCTATAATCATTTCTGTGTCTGCTGCTCTGGTATAATCATTTCTGTGGCTCCTGCTCTGCTGTAATGATATTTGTGTCTCCTGCTCTGCTATAATCATGTCTGTGTCTCCTGCTCTGCTATAATCATGTATGTGTCTCCTGCTCTGCTATAATCATGTATGTGTCTCCTGCTCTGCTATAATCATTTCTGTGTCTCCTGCTCTGCTATAATCATGTATGTGTCCCCTGCTGTAATCATTTTTGTGGCTCCTGCTAAAATCATTTCTGTACATCAGGCTTACAGCATTTCTAATTCACCAGATGTAACCATTTCTGCAACTGATAAAAATAGACGAATGAGGAGGAACGAGTTGCACCTGAGCATTTTTTAAATAACGAATCTGTAATCTTCAAGTGTTTGGTTTGTCGCAGCTTTTGACATTATTACAGCCATACCATGACATGAATGATGCCTGTAATGACGTTAACTGTCCCAATGAGGGGAATCGAGCCCTGATCTTCTGTTTGATATCCCAACGTTTTACTCGGCTAGCATACGTCACATTTTGCATATTCAGGCTGACTGACTGACTGAGTTTAGTTTTACGCCGCTTTTAGCAATATTCCAGCAACATCACGGCGGGGGACACCAGAAATGGGCTGCATATTCAGGATACATATTAGTGCGTAGAAATCTTTTAAAGGAAAATATATCTATTGTTGGTCTGTCGTTCTAAAAAGGATAATTTATACTTTCCTTCAGTATATTCATTGGCCTTCACTATATGGATGAAATAATGTCGACGTTACATTTGAATTAGCTCACTATTCATTCACCGTCACCTGTATGTCTTCTGGGGACTCCTGGTTCCAGCAATGCATGCTGCTCATTGGGGGCTCCTGAACTGGCGGTGCCCGGTTTGGTTCGAGTTCGGGTTTGGTACCCAGTTTGGTTGATTGCATTGCATGGTACTCAGACAGCGTTGGCCGTTGCTCATGATATCAATCACTGGATTGTCTAGTCTGGATTTGATTCTTTAGATCTTAAGGGGAAGCATACGCAATGACTTGTTTGTCTGATTTGACCCCAACTTTATAATCTAATATATCACCGAGTGCGGCGTTCAACAACCAGTCTGTATTTCTTCTTCACAAATCCACCCAAAATTCAATGTGAGACAAAGCGCAAACAAGCATGAACCGAGACTAGCCTTACATACAGCCCCCTGGATGAAGTTTCGGATAAAATATATAAATTTCCACAAAGAAAACCGGGCGGTGGGGTAGCCCAGTGGTTAAAGCATCGTTCGTCACACCGAAGACCCGGGTTCGATCCCCACATGGGTACAATGTGTGAAGCCCATTTCTGGTGTCCCCGGCCGTGATATTGCTGGAATATTGCAAAAAGTGGCGTAAAACTAAACTCACTCACTCACAAAGAAAACCCAGTGATCATAATATCAATCACTAGATTTATTCTGATTGCAAAATGGAACACCAAAGTATGATTGACTCCCCAAGTCTCTTAGTTTCAAGCCTAAAGCTGAATAGGAGAGGAGCATAGGCTGCTAGAAATGAGACTGGGCAATAAGGGTGAATGTTTCATGAAGATAAAGATTATTAAGACATTTGGTTTGTTTATTGTTTTAAGCCGCACTCAGCAATATTTCCAGCTATATAACGACGTCTTGTAAATAATCGAGTCTCTACCAGACAATCCAGTGATTAGCATCATGATCATCGATCTACGCAATTGGGATACGATGACATGTCAGCGAGCCTGACTACCCGATCCCGTTAGTCGCTTCAAACAACAAGCGTGGACTGCTGTAGGCCAATTTTAACCCGGATCTTCACGGGTACTTTTTGGAGAGATCAGGGTGGTACAGTCAACATAACATGCATGAGCTTAACCGTCGTGACTTAAACATGTTCAGATATGCTTGTGTTGTGTCACCTGCACCGACAACTGTTTTGGTGGCCTCTTAAGCACGTGTCTTAGCGTCTAAATATTTCGTCAGAGGCACGCTCTTTCACACTGTCAGACATATCCTCATAAATTACTTGACGTCGCGATCAAGGGTCGAATAAGAACCTGCTATCTCCTTGCAAACAATGCCTTGGACAGGCTATAGTAATCAATCAAAGTGACTTTGTAAGACATATAGTTTGAAGCCGTGGTTTCTCGTCCGATCGTTAGTGGCCAGCACTGTTAATGCAAATTTGAACTCGGTTCCCGTTCGCTTTTACTATGGCATTGTTTTCCATTCCGAAGTTGCACATTTTGATGTAACACGTGTAATATATGGGAATTGAAATAAAATGATAACGTTCCACCTACCTAAACATGCTCCAGAGAAACCAGATTTTTTTATAGCTTCTTGGATGTTTTATTTTATCCATTCATCATTTTCCAACATCTTGATTCCTAATACATGTAATAAATAACGCCGCATTCAGTAATAATCTAGCTATATGGCGAATCATCAAGTCGATCATATTAAAGATCACGTTTAGACCAGACAGACAAACATTGATATCACAAGCAACATTCAACGGCATTGAGGTGCAGTGACACCCAGTCAACTTAATACCCGAACCTAAGTCGATCAATTCAGTCTCCTCTTACGACACACTGGGCTGTTGATGACGCATTGTAACCTGGGACCCCCAGGGGTCTGAACACAAAGAGGGGACATCTTGACCTGGAGTTAACTAGTGTCCAGACCGATGTTTACAGACCCCATTCTCAGTCCCCTTTAATGTATAGCTGTTGTGTAATTGGGTCTGTGGTAACATACAAAAGATCAACCGTACTGTGGATACAAAGGTTTGCATT